ATCTATGGCATGAGCAGAGTAAGCTCTAAGCTGCCCTGTAGGTTAAAAAAAGAAAAATGAAATTTGAGCTATCACCTACTTCAAGGGACAAAGTTTTGCAATCCGAGTTCAAATTAACTCTTTGTTTAATAAAACAAACAAACAAAAACATTTTTTGGAAGAACATAACTGAAATAATAGAATCCAAAGTTTTATAACATATCATTCATAAGGTCTAAGTTATAATGCAAAATTAGTCATTATGCTAAGAAACATGAAAATGTCTATCTCCTCAAGAATGAGCAAAATGATAAAGACCAATACTGAGAGAAGTCTTTTATAGACAAGATTTTTAAAGTAGCAAATTTAATTATGCTCTAGGTCATAGGAAAATAAGTTAACATGATGTCTCTGCAAAACCAAAACAAAATAACTATAAAGAAGACTCAAATGTTTCAAACTAAATAAATTAAATAAAATATCTTAAAAACTGGTTGGGTGCTGGGAGCAATGACACATGCCTATAATCCCAACTATCTGGGAGGCTGAGGCAGGCAGATCCCAAGTTTGAGCTCAGCCTGCAACTTAGTGAGACACTGTCTCAAAAAATAAAAGGACTGGGCTGTAGCTCAGTGGTAGAGTGTTTGACTAGCATGTGTAACATCCCGGTTCAATACCCGGGGGTATTGCAAACAAAACAAAATAAAACTTGGGTGGGTTTAGTGGCAAACTGGAGAAGGCCCGTACAAGTAAATACCAGCACCAATCAGGATTACTACCAGACAAACAACCAAAGAAAAGGAAAGACAAGGAAACTGCCAAAAACCAAAGTGAAAAAGAAACCACTAGAAGCCAAACAGAAAAATTAAGCACTGCATACATGGAACAATTCAGATTAACTAAAACTTCGTATCAGAAACAATGGAACCAGAAGACAATGGAACAATATCTTTAAAGTGCTCAGAGAAAAACAAGTTTCTACACAGAATTCTTTATTCACCAAAATTACCTTGCAAGAATGGAGAATAAAGACATTTTTCAGTCACAGTAAAATGAACAGAATGTGCTGTCAACAGGCTGGTAGTACAAAAAATGCTAAAGAGTTTCATGCTGAAGGTAAATGATACCAGATGGAAACATAACATTTCAAGAAAGTAATGAAGAGTATCAAACATGGCAAATATGTGGAAAAAATATGACATTTCTTTAAAATATGACTATTTAAAGCAAGTAATATTATATTTCTGTATAAATAATATATATAGAAATAACACATAAACATATGGAAAACAATGTACAAAGGGTAGAAGGAGAAGAAGGTAAAGGAACCTGGACATTTGAACTCTAAGTAGATTTTGAAATGTTAAGAATATATATTTAGAACAATCAATAAAAGAATAATACAAAAAACAGGGTGATGGTGCACAACTGTAATCCCAGCAGCTCATAAGGATGAGGCAAGAGGATCACAAGTTCAAAGCCAGCCTCATCAACTTGGCAAGACTTTGTTTCGAAATAAAAAATAAAAAGGGCAGGGGATGTGGCTTAGTGGCTAAGTGCCCATGGGTTCAATCACAAGTACCAAAATAAATGAATAAATAATAATAGTAACAATAATAATACAAAAAATGTAGCAAAAAGCCAATGGATATATTAAAATGCAATTGTGAAAAATATTGAATTAATACAAAATAAAAAGGAAAGAATAAAGGAATAGGGGCTGGGGTGGTAGCTCAGTGGTAGAGCGCTTGCCAAGCATGTGTGAGTCACTGGGTTTGATCCTCAGCACCACATAAATAAATAAAATAAAGGTATTATAAAAAGTGATTAAAAAAAGAATAAAGGAATAAAAATTTTAAGGAATAAACAGAAAATATAATAAAGTAGTTGACCTAAACCCAAACATTAGTAATTACATTAAATGTTAATGAACTATAAACACTGCAACTTTAAGGCAGATACTGTTAGAATGTCAAATCTATGTTTTAAAATGTCAAATACATGAGTATGCAAAAATACACTTCTAATATAAAACTGATTATATACAGTAAGCCTAGGACACCTGGAATATAGCTATATTCATTTCAGATAAAATAAGCTTTAAGATAAAGCATTACTAGAAATGAAAGAGAAATTTTGTTACAATAAAGAGTCAAATACATTAGAAAGATGTAATAATCAAATATGTATGCAATTACTAACAGAGCTCCAAAATACGAAGACAAAATTTACCAAATTGAAGAAAAACAAGATAATTCCACAATTATGAGTGGAGATTGCTTAGAACACCTCTTTTCCTTGTCCCAACATCCTGCCAAGATCTACATCTGACATTATCTACAACCTTGATCTAATGAGTGATAAACCACATCTATTAAAATCAATGAATCATAGAATGACTATTTTTTAAAGTACACTTAATACAAGATAATCCAAATGTTAAGTCATAAAAGAAAGCTCACATTTAAAGAACTGAAACCATACAGTATATGCTTTGTAACTTAAATGAAATTTAAAAAGAAACTGGTAAAAAGATATCTAAAAAACACCCAAATTAGAAGTTGACCAATAGACTTCATAACCACTTTTAGGCAATGCAATTAAAGTGCTCAGAAGAAAACGTAACAGCTTTAAATGTTCATATAACAAGAGAAGAAATATCTAATAGCTAATGACCCCAGAAACTAGAAAAAGAGCATAAAAATAAACCAAAGTAAGTAGAATGAAGTAGATAAAGAGCAGAAATCATTTAATTATAAAACAAACAGGCATATAATAAGGTAAAGTTGGTCCCTTGAAAAGGTAAAAAATATTGCTAAATTTCTGCAAGAATGATCAAGAACAAAAGAGAACACAAATTACCAGTGGACTAACAACAGGTTATGGTAATAATCTCATTCATTAAAAGAATCATAAAAATCAAAGTTGACAATGAAGACAAAATGAACATATTCCCTGAAAAATACAAGGTACCAAAACTGCCATAAAAATGAAATGGAAAATTAATTCTACCAAACATTTAAGGAAGAAATAACAATCTTACAAAAACTCATTCAGAAATTAAAAAAGGAAGAAATATTTCTTAAATCATTTTATGAAGCTAGAATTACCCTTGATAACAAAATATGAAAAGAACATCACAAAAAAAGGAAAACTACAGATCAAGATACTTCAAAAATGCAGATGCAAAAATCCTTAAAATTAAATTAACTCCAATTCATTTTTGTGGCAGTTCTGGGGTATGCATGGATGTGTGAGTGTGAGTTTGGGTGATACATCACGACCAAGTAGAATTTGTCTTAGGAACATAAGGTTAGCTTAATGCTTGAAAAGTGAAATATAACTCATATAACAACACTTTAACTTTATTATCTGAAAATATTTATGTAGTAATAGTTACAGTGAAGAAGACAATTATTCAGTATCTTAAACTACAATTTTATATCCTGATCTGTTAAAATGTACAAGGTTCAAGTCTACTTAAGATATTGACCCTAATTTATAAGGCCGTGTAATCTGAGTAAGCTATAATCAAGTATAAAAGAACAAATCAGCAGTACAGAGTATCACTGAAGTTCTTGTTTTCAGAGTTATAAATACATTATCAGTAGAGGTTGTTTTGTTAGGTCTTGAAGGATGAGAAAGAATTAAGAATCTTAGAAGAAAAAATGGAATTTGGGCAGAAGTAAAGAGTTTGGCTACTGTAAAACAACAGTAATAGAAGCTACCATTTTAGTGAGGGCTTAAAATGTGTACTAAGTACTTTCTATGTTGTTGCATTCATTTCTGATACTTCTTAAATTTTTTTGGTACAGGGGATTGAACCCAAGGGTGCTTAACCACTGAGCCAAATCTTTAGCTGCTTTTTAAATTTTGAGACTGGGTCTAAGTTACTTAGGGCTTTGGTAAATTGCTGAGGCTGGCTTGATTCTCTTGCCTCAGACTCCCAAACTGCTGGGATTATAGGCCCGCATCACAGTGCCTGGCTTCTGACAACTTTTAAAGCTGTACCAAGAGGTTATATAACTTACCAAAAGTTTATATTAATAAGTAGCAAAGCTGAGATTTTAATGTAGGTTCCCTGACTCTTAAGCACAAATTCTTAAGTCAAAAAAATATTTGAAAGGACTAATAGGAGGAAAAGAACAAAAATATCTTCAAAAGCACTGGAGCTATTTCTGAAAACAAAACAAAAAAAAAAGGATAAGAAAAAATGAACACGGTTAGAATTTCACTGGATTAGAAAAGCAGAAAAAAGAAGAATTATCCAACAGCAAAGTTTCAACTATAAAGTACATCATATAAAGCATTACTCTTCTGAATCAGAGAAATGAAAAGAACACCAAGATAGAGTTATATCTTGCAAATCAAAGTAAGAGAGCATTTACAGAGTATCAACACTACAATCAAATGTGCCAAGTTAAAATAGAAAAATGCTTATAAAATATAGCTGAATTTAGTAGTTATATCATCAGACTGAGAACAGAGAATTAAAATACAGTAATAGAAGCTACCATTTTAGTGAGGGCAACAAGAATAAAAATTTTTGTAAAATATAGAATGATGCCTTAGGCTCAACAGAAAAGCAAAAGAATAGAGTCCATGAATTAGCTTGAAGAGAAGTGTGAATATGAAATATATTTTATTAAATTACGCATGGGGAGGGGCAAATGATTAACAGATACAAAAAGGAGAGGGCAGACCTAACAGACTGTATAGACTTCTTTAAAAAATATTTTCTTTAGTTGTCTATGGACCTTAATTTTACTTATTTATTTATATACAGTGCTGAGAATTGAACCCAGTGTCTCATACATGCTAGGCAAGCATTCTAAACACTGAGCTAGGACCCCAGCCCCAGGACTATATATATTTTGAACTTAGGATAGAATCATTACTCTAGAAAGCACTAGAAAAGTGCAATTATCATACTGAAAATAGATTTCACATTTAAAAAGCAAACTATTATCAGTACCCTAATTGCTATGCAGAATTCACAAACTCACAGGCACATTTCTAACCTGGTTTGCTGCTTGCTTTAGTACTCTTTAAGGTAGCCGGTGGAGTTGGGAGGATCTTTGCAGGTGTGTATGTATTTAAAGATACTTTTCTTCTCATTGCTGGACTGGTACGTGAGGCAGAAAAGACTGAAAAAATTAAACAAACATAATAATTTAATAATTTCCTGTAAGTTCTACATTAACATTACAGAAATTTTTTTACAACATAATTTAGTGACTCTAAAATATGTACAATGTTGAAAAAATAAAAGGCAAGGTTTGGAGAGTAAATTCAGGAAATCATCTTTCACATAAAAAGGCAATTCTCTCATAGTCTTACCCAAATCATTGATCTGTTTGTATTATAAGCATTTTAACAGTATACACCAAAAGAATGTCAACAAGAATAGTGCAGCAGACTTAATTTTGTTCTGCCCTGATAGAAAGTGATATACTTAAGGGATGACAGAAAGTTGATGGAACAGAGTCAGTACTTTTTAAGACAAAAAATCTCAATAATAAATGGGAATTTAAGAATGATTCATTTACAAACACAATGGTCTACTACACTATTATATTTAAGAATAAAATAACTAGATATAAATAGTTAAATAAATCACATTGTTTTCTTTATTACCCAGCTAAGATTTACCTTCACAAAGAGGAGGAAATTTTAAAGTTATCCTCCATATCCCTACTTTCTAATAAAGATGGAGTGACTAAGAAGTGCAAAAAAGAAAAGTAGGGAGAACTCTTCAGGATGAAATCCTTCAGGGAAGGACAGCCCAAAGTGGGTGTGCAGGTGGCAAGGTGACTGTTATAAGGTTCTGGCTTCTAAACAAAGGAAAAAGATTATAAGTCAGATTTGCAATTTTGCAGTTTAGGGGGAAGTCCAGACAGCAATACTCAGTGTGCTTTTGAATATCAAGATGTGGACCAGTTATGGCAAATGTGGCACTGGTGGTTGAGACCCATGTTGAAATGTCACCGATAGTGAAAAAGCAGCCACTAATGAAAATAATGTAATACAAAAGTCCCTAAAACATCATATAAAGCACTATATCATTACTTAGTTCTTTCCTGCTTCCACACTTTTATTAAAATCTTTTTTCTGTTAATTAATTTCCATCACTAACTTATCCTTATTAGTATTCCTACTCCATTTTATCAAACACTATTTTAAGTTATCTTTCATTTACCATAAATTTAGAAATTTTTGTCCTAGATGAGGAAAAAACCTTGAACACCAATGGAATTAATATTGTCTTCTGTCTTGTTATAGACACAATAAAATAGAAATAGTTCTTTGAATATGAGGCTATTTCTTTGGCAATTCAGGAATTTTTTTTTTATACTGGCGATTGATCCCAGCAGCACTTAACCCCTGAGAAACATCCTCAGCCCATTTTAAAATATTTTATTTAGAGAAAGGGTCTTGCTAAAGTTGCTTAAAGTCTAGCTAAGTTGCTCAGGCTGGCTTTGAACTTACAATCCTTCTGTTTCAGCCTCTTGAGCCACTGGGATTAAAGGTGTGCTCTATTGCGCCCAGGGAATTAAAATAATGTAAATGTGGTGCATTTAGTAAATATAAATTCTTCCATTACTCCATAAAATGTAAGATTCAGATACTTCCTTCATAATCAGGATTCTCTTTTCTTTAATATTAAAAAAGAATGTAAAAAACTAAGTTGATTTTCTTCAATTATGGCTACATTTTTTTCCTTTGAACAATAAACTTCTCTCAAATGATATCTTAAATAAAATGGATCAAAGCAGATACTATGGATGATGCAGCCATGGAAGATATAAGCCCTAACCATTCTGAATCCTTCTCTTCCTATGGATTTCCGAAGGCTCTTGGGAATACAAGTTAATGTGAATGAATCATATTATCTACTACAAGGTTTATCTGATTCTTGAACTGCATTAAGCAATTTATTTTTTCATCTTGTAGAGAATTAGAGGAACAGGGCTATAATTTAGATCCATGATATACAAAACAACTAAAAAAGAAATCTAATATCCTTTGCCTCATTACTGTACCTCATTAATATACTAATTACTGAATCCACTAACCACAAAATGAAGCTGTCATAAAATACCAATGCCACATAATAAATCTTAAAAGATTATTTTTTTGTAAATATTTCACTAAAATTCTATTTTTAAGCAAACAGATGTCATTATTGCTATTACCTTCAAGTTATTCACTGCAAATATCTAAAATTAAATAGCATTGATATCTACCTTAAGTCTTGATTTAATTATCAGAATCTTTTTAAATCTCTGTTTTAAGATTTAAATTTCCCATCTCAGGGAAGCAATGAAACATCAAGTATAAAGGTAAAGGGCTACACTAGAATTTCTTTAGATTATCTATTGTGAAGGAACAGTACTTCTATTCTATTAGGGTTACACACAACATAAAAGGAGATGAACTTCATTTTCCTGACTGTGACTTTATCTATTACTTCATTTGAAGCATTATAAATGCTCAGAATCAGACACATGGATATGCAAGATCTGAAATTAAAACCTAATTAAAGCTATTCCTAAAATGAACTATTTTAAGACATTCACATCAGATACATTTCCACTATTAATGATTGAGAACTGACCTTCATTACTAGAAGTGGAAGAAAAGGGAAGGGTCACTACATTGAAGAAATTAGGGACACCATTCAGACAGAACAGAAAGTGAATAGTGCTCTAGAATTATAAATGTGATGGCCCAGGAAAAGGAAGAGAATAACTGCAAGACATAAAAGGGATGTCCAGTCTATTAACTATAGGATGTTATTTTATGCTTGGGCAAAATACATTTACAGCACCTCAGAAAAAGGGAATGGTATACAAAACAAACAAACAAACAAAAAACAACTTTGTTGCTTTTCTAGAATATAACTAGAATTGCAAGATTCTTATCTCTTAAGCAGAATACCGTCTCTTAAAACCCTCTTCTTAGGGACACCATTTGCAGAACAGAAAGTGCTTTGCAAACTGGAAATTCTGACATGCTGAGGTATGCCATAGAGCTGAAAATGGCAATTACTAGTTGGCTTCTTTACATCTAAAAAGGTAGTCTAGAGCATTTCCTAAAATGAGGTCCCTCAGAATAGTGACATGTAATTTTTAATATGTATGAAAAATTTTTTCTTAAAAAAAAAGTTTTAAATCTAGTTATACAGCATTCTTTACAGAACTTCACTCTTTTAGGCTAATGTAATTGTACTTCTCTAAAGGCAGGTAGAATATAAAGTTTCCAAAACTTAGCCAAGAACCCTTATTCTACATACACATGAATTAACTTCTTCAGAATATTTATTCTACATACACATGAATTAACTTCTTCAGAATATTTTCTGAGGAATATAATTTGGAAAACTGCTGTCTTCATTTGGGCCCTTTAATTAAAAGCTCTGACTACTTCCAAAGTAGTGCGGGGATGGGCAAGTGTGTGTGTGTGTGTGGGGGGGGTTTAATATGAACTAATTATTTTGTAAATTATTTTAAGTTATTATAAAATGATATGTAATAGAAATATAACATTTAGTTTAAAAATAATTATGATTCTTTATTATGCTATTGACTTTGATTGCCAGTTTGTAGATTTTTGGTTTTATTTTCCCTTCTTTTTGTAAGAAAATATTTTGGGGAAGAATCAAAATAAGTGGTTCACTGCACCTGAAACCAAAGAATTAATAATAATGTCCCTTTACATTTCTTTCTCCTCAAAAATTCTATTCACTACTACTACTTGAGTTTATATATTTTATAATTCTTATTATATTCAACAATTAAATAATAAAATAATAATGATGAAAGTTAATTTCCCTACAACCTTCAGGGGTCTTCCTTAGAACTTCATTTGATGGTGAAGCAATAGATGCAAGAAATTCATCCACCTGCTTTAAAGATAGGGCATTGTGAAGAGTTTCCAGAGGGCAAATAGATGGCACCATGGAGTATAATTCAAAGCCTGCAAGAGAGAAAACAAAAACAAAAAAATAAAAGTTGGGTGTTTTCAAAATCAATAATTGAAAAGAAAGATGATCACTGTTTAGAACTGGAAAATTTAGTCTTTTCAATATAGCACATGCAAACACACAAGATCTCTCAAGTCATGACACCAGATGCTATGCAATATGGATTGAAATAAGATGTGACAAAGATTTCTCTTTACATGCACATGAATTCCTTAAGAAAACCTAGGGGGAAAAAGATAAGATACAAATTTTCAGTTTTTATCTGTTAAAGTCAGGTCTATTCAATAGATGAATAAACTGATGTTATAATGTGTCCCTGACGCTAGATTGCTAAAAGTAATTTCTTGTCAAAAAACAATTACATAATTATTTGTGAAGAATGGTTTTAAACACCTTTCTAGTCACATCAAGGCCAATTATACTCTCTAGTATGATTCTAAAATTACATTCATTCACTTATGGTAGAGTTAAAATTCTGAAACATATTTCACCTACCTTTACTGAATTACCACCAATAATTCTATTATTGAAAATCACTGACTGAGTAAAGTTAGGTCAAGTAACAAACAATACCAAATACAAATATGTTTATATTTAACAACGGCAGAGAAATATAAAAAATTCATGAAATTTTCATGCAGATATGTATTAATATCGTCAGTGAAACAAAAGCACTTAAACACACAGTTTATTTTCTTAAACCAATAGGATACAGGTTATTCACTTTTTTAAAAAACAGAAAATTATCTATTTATTTAAATTTTATTCAACTGAATGGCTTTTAAAATTGTTTTAATATACTGTTAAAAATAACAAGTCTTTCTTCATGTACTCTTTCAAAAATCTAAACTGGTTTTCCTTCAAAGAAATACTTTAAATGTTTAAGTTTACAACATAAAAGCCTTGCACCAGTAATTAAAAAGTAAGCATTAACTAAATTCAGACTGCAAAATAGAATGTGCTTCAATAAGCATGTGCTCATTTTAAAACTGAGTACTATTTGATTTTCCTCCTTAAATTCTGGGAAGAAATATGGACCCAAGAACTACTGGGGGGATTCCCAGTTGGAATAGGAGAACTTCATTTAAAAGAAATTTAATCTTACCATGAAAACAACCAAAGCTTATATATTTGATTTTCAGGTGCAAACCAAAGCAAGACAGAACATTGCATATACTTAAAAAGAACTATAGTAGTATAACAACACTTAAAACACCTAAAGTAAGCACTTAAGAAATTATGCTTGCACAATTGCTATTTTCTTTTTTACAGTATAAAACTCATGCAAATAAGCTCAAACCCTTTCTTTGCATTACAGACAAAAATTAACAATGTGTTCTTTCTCCTTTCCTTAGGATGTTTATAAGTCTATTGTTTTCTTTCCTTCACCTGCTAGATTTTATAGCAGGTGAATGACAATATAATCAAGTTCCTCAGGACTACAATTTTCCCATTTATCTTTAATAAACTTTTTCTTTAATGCACAATGAAAGGGTTAGTGCAGAAATTTAAAAAGCCACCCCGCTGACATGTTTAGAAGCTATAAAAACATACCACTGGAGCCTAGAAATTCCACAGAGGAAATGGACCAGCACCTATAGAGGTGTAGGTGTTCTGCACAGAGGCCCAGAAAATAAGGTAAAGCACTGTCAGAAGATACTTGTTTCACCATGTTCCTTGAACTAAAGATGAAGGAGGGGTAAGTCCATGATATGTGTTAAAGATGGAAATAACATGAAAGTTAGGGGAAATAAAAAGTGAAAGGAAGAGTCAAATGACAATTCATTGGACAGATAAGACAACACAGCATTAAAAAAAGAAAAAAAGAAATCTTGAAAACCCAAAGGAAATATTTCTATAATTAAAAGAAATGTATTTTATATGCATTAAGTTATATAATATGTAGAAAAAGCCACATTTAGAAAATAATCTAAAACAAAGGAATATAAAACTACTCTTTTTTAATTTAACAAAAGGATTTATTATCATTATTTTTTAAAAAAATTTTGTAGTTGTAGATGGACAGAATGCCTTTATTTTATTTGTTTGTTTTTATGTGGTGCTAAGGATCAAACCCAGTGCCTTACACATACATGCTAGGCAAGTACTCTGCCACTGAGCTATACCCCCAAGCCCTATCATTATTTTTGTCAATGAAAATACAGAGTTTTTTTCTTGATAAAAGCTGCAAGCCTGGCTTTAAGCACATAACCATTTAGCATACAACTATAGACAGTCTTAAACTTGAATACTACTTCTTCAAATTTTGTAAATTGTTTTTCTTGTGACTTGTTTGTCTTCTAAGAGGTTCTTAGGCATGTGATATCTCTAGAAGCTGCAGCTGTATCAAATAAAGACCATTTTCTTCAAAATATAGTATTTAAACAGCAACAGTGGAGGGAAAGCACACTAAACTTTCATTTGTTGAGAATGAAGTCTTCTTTTTCTACCTTTAAGAAATACTAGTGCACTGTTATCTAGATGTGTTAAAGGACCCGAAAGGGGAAGAATGATCACAAACTTGTGTTGAACACTGAAGATTCATAAAATTTCAATTTTTGAAAGACTTCTTTGTAGTTAAAAACTTTAAGAAGGTTCCAGGGATAAAAGCACCTTCATTACAAAAAGCAAAAACTTGTACATTTAAAAAAAATTCTTAGGTCCTGTAGTATTTAAAGATGATTAGTAAATATTCTTTATTGCTCCAGAAGATCAAGCTTTATGTAAAAAGCTGCAATACTGCAATGATTCAATTTATAAATACTGGTTGTAAAACACTTTACTATTTATTCAGCCTCAAAAAATTAAATTTAACTGAATTGGGTTTCTGGACGTTTTTTTCTATCAGGAATTCCCCAAATTTTAAGAAAAAGAAGTGTTATCAAAAGGAACTGGTTGCTTGATAACAGTATTCCGTACTGCCACATGAGGACAAAGTGATTGCTGGTTAAAGTTTTCAAAGTGTTCCAGACGAAGTCTGGTTTTGCTTTAGACAAAGCCAGGGATAAATGTTGTTACGCAGTGAAATCTGCATCACCTGGTTCCCAAGAAATTTTCAAAGACACTTCTCCTTCGGCTATTTGATACAGGTCACTCTGTATTTCTGTTAAATATCTCAATAAATCAACCATGTGGTCAAAAAAGAAATTGGGGAGAAAAAATTAAAATTAATAATAATTAAGAATAAATTAATACCAATTGTTACAATTTAAGAATTTGTGTGAACTAGTCACTTGAGAAATTAGAATTTTAAGGTGTTAATTCATCATCAATTGTGCTTATTTAAGAGTTTGATGAATAATGTTAAATTATTTTATAAATCAGAGCTAAAAAAGGGAGCCAGCCAGTATCAATAATTTGGGTGATTAAGAAGTTGGAATTGTATGCCAATTGAAATTAAGAATGGATAATGAATGATACTGTATACCCCACATTTTGAAATAAAAGAAAAAATAAAAAGGGACGAAGCAGGGGAGTATCTTTTAAAATAAAAGCAAAACGTACCATTGGTTGGGTGTCGAGCAAATGAGATAGAAAACCTTTTAACAGCAGAACCGCGTGTGGCGTCTGAGAAAGAGAAAAACAGGTACCTGAAATTTGTAACAGCTACCAAAAGAAGAACACTTAAAAAAACAAAAAGAGGGGAAAAACAAATATAGAAGGAGGTTAGAATTAGGTGACATGCAGAAGGGACAATGAGAGAAGGTAATAAGCCAAATACTGGTTAAAAGCAGTAAACTGGCTTGATGATAGAGGCAAATGTTTAATGAAATATATAAAAGAAAGAAAAGCAGGATGAGCTGGCAATTTTGGTAAATCTAAGTTTTATTGACTAAAATAAATTTGTGGATATATATGGTGATCCTGAAAACTAAAATACTCCTCTTAGCAAAAGGGACCAGCTTCCACGAGCTTCAAAGGCATTCTGAATATTAAAATCTTAAAACTTAAGGTCTGTTAACAACAGTGAGAGGATCTCCTTTAGCTAGAAATCCTAAAATATTCTCTTTCTATGATTATTTTTATAAAAATATTACCAACATGGATTTTCTTCTAGTAATAAATATTTTATTCACCTTATTTTAATTAGTTCAATATCAGTAAGTAGGATAGGGTTAACAATGAACAAATTTAAAAGATCAAACAAAATTCTTTATAATATGGATCATCAATTATTTAAAAGAACACATATGATGCAGTTCTAGATATTCCATTTCAATGAACTACTTACTGTACAAGTACTTTAAATTTAACTACAATTAATTGTTTGATGAAACATGGATCCAAGCTGTGGATTACATAGAACACAGATAGTCATTTAGGTAAAGGGTGCTAGAATTCCACTTGAACCAGTCAGTGGCTTCAGATATGCTTGAGAAATACTGCTCATGGGTGTGTGCATGAGTGTAGGTATGAATCTGTGTGTGCATGTGTGCACATACCATCTATGCAGCCAGAAGAGGTCAGCTTTTTACGATGAGTACGAGCATAATCCTGTAGGTTAGGTGCGCTTGAAGAACCCCCGAGCACCGAGGTGCTAAACAGGCCCGCACAGTGAGACCCTGATGGGAGTTAGAGAAAATACATACAACAACGGGTGTTCTTCCATTCACATTGGGAATTCATGCAGCATGCAATTGACATGGCTCTTACCAACACACAGGCAGCCTTTGGCAGTGCCTTGAACAGGCTCACAATATGCTTGTAACGTTCTACGGAACATTACATAATGCTTCTAATAACAACTACCATTTATAATATGTACAAATGGGGTAACTTAACACTAAATAAAATACTATCTTTGAGGAAAAATATATGCACACACAATAATTAGACATATGTACATTTAAAAAGTTTTAAAATATTACCATAAAAATAATTTAGGACAAGATGGGATTCTGATAAACAAATTGCAAGAGCAGGCTATATTAAAAAAAAAAAAGAAATACTTCTCCTAGTACAAATTTTTATAATAAATCAATATTTTTGAATGTATGCCTATCAATGAAGAATCTTTTCTGATCCCCTTGAATTAAAGACTGTCAATTTTTTTTATAAAATAAAGTAAGTATATCAATATATTTACTTGTAAGACCAGGAAAAATTTCTTATACTTAACAAATGACTCTAGATCTTAATTAATAAAGCTCCAATAAAACATGTCATCATCAAAACACAGCCAGTATAAACTGATGCTCTGTAGCAAAAGTTTTTTTACTCAAACAAAACATTCTCTACTGGGAAAGATTAAATAAATTTCTATCAAATATACTATGCTAGTACATTAAGAAGGTGTAATACATACATTTCTATTAAAATACTGTCGGAATATTAAAAGCTATCAATATAAACTATTAAAGTAATTAAAGAAAGATCATCAAGTATATAGGCATCAACAAGGTTCATATACTTAGACTGCAGTACATACATAGTTTAAACTTATAATGAGATCTATGCTTTTATTAAACCTGTTTAGACAACTATTTACAGAAAAGAGTAATGTTGTTACCTCATATAATTTATCAACCAATGACCTTAAACCCAATGAGTTTGTAAAGTGTTCTTCAAAGTTGCTTTGAGTGTTAGCAAAGAAATAATTATGTTCTATAGTTTTTAATAGAGAGTAAATCTGCCACTGTGCGTCAGTTTTGCTTTGGTTTTCCTTAAGAGCTGTTGCAAAAGAAAATAAATTCACCCAGATAGGGTTTGAAACATTCTCTACCTAATTAGCCTTTTTAATCAGAAAAATAGATTTTTTTCCCCATGCAATAGCACCTTTTCATCTTTATTGAGTGGAGAGATGAAGTTTCCTTCATAAACTGACTTATATAATAATAGGTTAAAAACAAGCATTGGCAAGTGGACTAAGTCATTACCATAGGGTTACATAACAAAATTAAACACTATGTCTTAAAATATCACAACTTTACTGTGTAATTGAGATGTACAACTCAACATTTCTGAATTAATACACATTAAATAAAAACTAGAGCATAGCATTTGGTCATGCTTTTATCACTGAAGAGTTTTACATGTGTGCACAATATTGAGTTTATAAAGGGAATAGAATACAATTTCCTTTAAACCACATACCTACAGTAGGGTTTTGTTTCTGTTCCACAAGAGCTCTTGGTGTTCGAAGGTAATTAGTGTTTTCAGATACAACCTACATAAGGAAAACAAAATAAATGAAATAAAACAGCAAACTAAATTAGAAAGTCCTTAGTTCATATGCAGCCTGTCCAGACAGACAAAGGTTAATAAGCTGTATGATAAATATTAGTAGAAATACACAAAACATGAAAGATCATGCAAGATCCCCTTTTGAAGGGAGTCCATTTCATATGATGTCCTTGCAATGAAGTGGTGCGAAGCAGGCATTCAGAATGAAAAATGTATGAAACAAGACAGATGAAAAGAAATAATTAATAGATTGATATATCCACTCTCTTTTAAAAGAAGCCAAATGCCCACTCTAAAACAGCTCCTGTATTTAAAGGGGGGAAAAAACAACCACAAACAAAAGAAAAGACAGACAGACTGTTAAGTCACCATACAATTACTGATCCATGCATGGACTTTATCAGAGTAACCTTTAAATATTCACAGCCTTAATGGATACCATAATCCCTTTTCCTATAATCAAATGTATTATATTTCCAAAAGGAAATTGCTGAAATTATCAGAAAAATCATGTGTAACAGCAGACCTTCATTCTAATAAAAACCAGAGTATTTAAAGTTTCCAAATGCCATCATAGAAAGTCCTTCTGAAATAATTTTATTTTGAACCATATTATTGATGGTTCAATACAAGACACTTGATGGTTGATGGTTCAATATAAGACACTTGCCCTGTCTTATATTATATAGCTCAAAGAAAAACATAATGTACATATATATCCCTTAGATACATCCAGATAAAGGAATAGTGAGGGAGAGAACAATCATTTTAGATGTATCCTGCTAATTAACACTGGGTCACATAAATTTTGATGCTTAAAAAATGTTTACATTCTCAGCAAATTCCAAATGGAATCAATATTTTCAATGATGGGGGGAAAATCAGTAAATTTTCTTACCATCAAATCACAAATTCTGTTTCTGAATGTTTTAAAAGATAACTGGAGTCAAATAAAAATTTCTTTCCCTTTAAAATAATTTTATCAGCAAGCTCAAGTTCCAGGAAAATAAAATTTATTGATTATTATTTAAATCCTGGATATTTAGAACTTTTGCAGTAAAAATGCTAAACATATGCAACATAAGTTGTTTCTTTCCCTCAATTATTGTTAAATATAAATATTTTTAAGTGGACTCAAAATTTAAAAGCAGAAGGATTTACTCTGATGTAAAACACAAGGGATTAGATGTCCTCAAAGACAGTTGTTTGTTGCTCTGAATGCAGGGAGGAAAAATGTTTAATGAAGTAAAATTTAAAAACCTGTTGCCATGAGCCAAAAATACTGGATGTGAAAGCCAATGATTTGGGGGAGACAGGGGAAGAAGTGATTTGTTCCCCTGATCTGCGTCTTCGACGCCCAGTACCCACACCACTGGTATAATGCAGCCAGGTACCAGTACCCTCTGGGCTAGACACACTCAGGGGGCTCTCTTCCTGAAAGTGAGAAAGGGGGAAAAAAAAAAAAAAAAAAAAAAAAAAAGCAGAGCATGCACAGTTAGATACAACAGAGCCAAATGATCAGAAAGAAAAAAAAATACAGTTTGCTTGCATTTTCTTATCTTTTTTTTTTAAATAATTAAACCATAATTTGGGAGCCAAATATTTCAATATTTGAGAATTTGATAGGAATAACATACGAATTTAATTTTGTGATAACAATATAGAACTATTTGTATTTCCTTAAAATACATAAAATATTTATACTGCTTAATAGTTGTCCCTTCTCTTAAAATTGAAAGATTTTAATGTTTCTATCTAGCAACTATTTAAATATTATTCTGTTTAATTTTAAATATTCAAGATATTTTGTGCTGTTGTGAGCAAAGTAAAGGTTAAAGAGGTTTCAATGTATAGAACTTAGAAAAGAAAATCTCTCTGCTAGTCATTTAAAAAGAAAAATCACAATGCTTAAAAATGCATTCTGCTGTCATGTATAACTAATGAGAACAAATTAAAAAAAATAAAATTAGAAATAAAAGAAAAATCAAGACAAAATTTATACTTGTTTATATACTTTCAAGTTATTTGTTTACCCCCTCCAAAAATTATTATAGAATTCAGTAGGCAAAACATGCAGCAGACATTCTCATTTTTATCTTTGCATGTTTAGGTTTCAAACAGTGAGAGTAGAATAAAATCCACTCGCACAAAATAAAGAGAATAGTCTTTTTTTTCTTTGTGTCTTTTAGAAATACAAACTTCTGATACCCACAGAGAGGTGGACAATAGAAAAAGTCTTTAAAGTTTAACTTGAATAATTTACCTTATGGAAGTAAAAGTTGAGCATGTTATAGAAATAATCTCTTGAAAGCAATTATTTAAGAATTCATAAGAAAGAGGTTTATAAATGTGTTCTGTGTTTTTAAAGTTAACAAGAGCAGTGATTCTGTAGAAGGTTTTATCAATATAGATGAGCCGACTCACAATACATTTTGTTTGAGCAGTGTTATATAGATTTTTTTGGAGAGCAAACTAGTAGAGGGTTTCATGGTAAAATTCTAAAGAATTTAATCAAATGCAGAGTGCTTGCTCAACAACACATCAAAATCATTGCCCCTGAACAAATGGTGGCTTAGATTAATATTAATATAGGTCATTCCTAATTTTCTGAAATTAAGTATACCTGAACATAAAACCAGATTTCTTTCTTTCATTTTTGTTTGTATTGGAGATGGAACCCAGGAACACTTAACTACTAAGCTACATCCTCAGTTTTTTAAAATTTTTGTTCTGAGATAGGGTCTTGCTAAATTCTGGGTCTGCCTTCAAACTTGTAATTCTCCTGCCTCAGTCTCCCAAATTGCTAGGATTACAGGCATATGCCAACATTCCTGGCAAATGTTTCAATTAAGCCATAAAAGAACGTATAATCCCAGGTTCTATAATTGTTAACCAGATTTTTTGGTTGTTTTTTTAAACTGCCCTCTTTTTTAATTAACTTAAAATATTATGTTCTAGGTAAGTTACCCTATTTAGTACACAATTTCCATTATGAAGTTACAACAATCTACTGAGTTTTTTTCTATGCATGAGTGTCAAATTACATGAAATTTGAAGTGAATCATAAAACACTTATGATAGTAAAATTTGGGGTTGGAGAATAAGCACAATTCTTTGCTAGATGATGTGATACTTAATGTTTTGGATTTCATCTATATAAATACCAAAAAAAAAAAATGTTTCTAATTGAGTTGATGGCTTTTCCTATCTCAAATTAAGTTTCTTGCTTTATATTTTTATTAGAGCATTTAAAAAATAATTATAAGCACTGACCTCAATCAGTACTAGCAGAATCATCCTACTAAAAATAAATAATTCAAAATAAGATTAAAAGTATAAAACATATACAGATATTAAAAATCTACCTAACATGTTTTATTACAACTGCTCAACTTTCCTTTTAAATGTTATGGTAATGGTTATTAAAATAGTATTGTAAGAGTGAGCATAAGAATTAGTTTAATGACTCAAATTACATACCTTAATACAAAGGTAAATTTTTCAATAGTATTACCAAATTTTTAAGCTTCTATATAGATTTTTGCAATAAGGAAACAATTTGAAATTTTATATTTTAACCTGCAGTGTCAATGGAATCCCTTACAGTTGAAGCATCTTTGGCATTTTCTGACTAGTTTTAATAAATTAAAATTATTCTTGATACATTAAATCAAACTTTAAAAAAATTCTTTATTGAAGAATAATAACCTAAAGGGACAAGACAAAAATATAGATGTTTATCAATTTCTTAGACCTTACTTTCATATTTGTATTCAATTTTGTTACAAAAGCTACACATAAATTTCCAAACTCTAAAACTAATCTTTATTTTCTAACTGCCTCTATATTTTTAAAAATTTGTTTGAAAAACAGACAAAGTTGACAAAAATTTTTAAGGTTCCCAAACTCCATATTAAAAGCTGTATTTTCTTTTCAGTTTTATTAACATATAGTTAGTTTACTCTATGAAAACATGCTCTGACACATATACATACTTCATTCGTAGCCATCTTTCTAGATCGTGGGAGTGGAGACTTCCTGTGTATGTGAATTGGCTCTGATACCATTGGTTTAAATAGTATCACAGCTCGATCAATCTCATCTCTTTTAGAAGTATGTGGTTCGTCATCATTATCAGTTTTAAAAGATCTTCTGCCTTCATTCTGTGAGGAAAAAATACAGTACACTTATAATTCAGATTAAACAAAAATCTCTTCTGATAACAAATTCAACTACCAACTGAAGTAGTCACTTGATGTAGATACATACAATTTGCATTCTGGGATGAATTAATAGTATTAATTGAACTCTTTATTTAAAAAAAAAATTTTTTAGTTGTCAACAGGCCTTTATTTATTTATATGTGGTGCTGAGAATCAAACCCAGTGCCTCACACATACTAGGCAAGCGCTCTGCCACTGAGCCACAATCCCAGTCCTTAATTGAACTCTTATAACAGCCTATTATGCTGTGTACTGTAAGAGAGATGACCAAGTCTCTGACTTTAAGAAATACATTCAGTTTATGAAGAAATTAAGTAAAATAACAATTTAAAATAAACATATATAAAACAAAGTATATAGTTAAATTTCTTCAAATATGCAAATAATACTAATTAGTGATCAATAAAAGTAGAGACAGGTTTTGTTATATAGAAATGTTATCAACCCAAGCAAGAATAAAATAGTATTTGAATTTATATATTTTAGAATATTTAAATTCTATTCCAAATATTTCCAATAAATGTGATCAGTGCACAAAAGATAATCATCCACTAAATACTATATTGAGTGTGTACTATTTGCTAGGATTTTGATGAATAAGGCACAGTCTCAGACTCTAAAAATTTCATAGCAGAGGAGACAATATAAAACATCTTAGACCAAATATCAACCTGGAACAGAATGGATTAATTTGGCCAAAGTCATATGGTAAAATACATGTTTTAAAGCAGTAAGAATAAACTAAAACTAAATAAAATTACTTGATGAATCTCATAAATTTAATATTGGAAAAAAAAAGAAAAAGAAAAGTCCAAGAGAGTATATAAAAAATTCTTTATTAAATTAAGGACTATATAAATATAAAAAAGACTTCCTTAATCTAAAATTTCAAATAACCATTACAGGTAATATCACTATTCATAGATAAGATCACAGAGAAAATATAAATGACTCTTTGGACAAATTATTAGAATGAATAAAGCATATAGTAAGTTTGCTAGTTATAAGATCTTAATACAAGTTAAAATTCAATGATAGTAACAAACAAAAAAATCAAACACTATTAATAGCATCAAAAAATAAAAAGAATATGTGAATTAATCTGACAAAGAAGATGTGACTTATTGCAAATCTTAATTTTGCCAAAAATGACATAATGTACAGCCAAAGTGAGAAATATACCAAGACACCTTATATTAGAAGATTCAGTACCACAAAAGTAATTTCTCTCAAAATTGGTCTCTGCAGAGTTGGTGTAATCCTAATTTAAATCCCCAAAAGTTCTTTTTGAAACATTATAAGATTACAAAATTTATATGAAAATGCAAGAACTCTAAAACACTCAAGGTAATCTTGAAGATAAACAAAGCTGAAGAACTTTCAAGTTAGAAATTAATATTATAGGGCTGTAATAATTGAAATTGATATTGATACAACTACAGGGAGACAAACAAAATAGTTCAAAAACCAATCTACCAATATATGAAAACAATATGTCTGGAATATCAGAAGTAGTACTGCAGACAGTAGAGAAAAGATGAACTCTTCCATATACAGTACTAGAACTAGTTTTCCATATAGGGAAAAAACAAAAACAAAAAACTGGACTTCATATCACACATAGCATATAAAAAAAATGAAGTTTTGTGCAGTAAAGAAATGGGGGAAGAAAATGATATTAGACTTAAGGAGAGTAGCAGGAAAGACTAAAGACATCAGAGATGCTCAATATGTAAAGAAATCTAAACCTACTGGGAAGACATGTTCTGACACATATAATTACTTTGATAGAAAGATATGCATATACATTCTAATATACCATGATTCTAATACAACCAATATTCTAACACATTCTAATACTCCAAGTCTAAATGACTGACTATAAACAATAATAATGACCTGGAGAATATAAAATATATTTTAAAAACATACATATATAATTCTTGACAAAAATAACATAAAATGGGATTGAGAGTAAAAGAATTAAAATCTTTCAAAACATGATTATATGGTTAGTAACATATAATTAAAGTTCTATTGATGTTAACAAGTCAGAGATTCATGTTACTATCTCTAGGGTAACCATTAAAAGAATAGTGGGGACAGTGTTGGAGAGTGATACTGGCCAAATTATATTATTATATTGTGTACTGTGTTCATATATGAATGTGTAACAACAAATAATATCGGTATGCACAACTATAATGTACTTCAAAAAAAAAAGCAAGAAGTGAGAGAAAAAAGAACAAATATCAAACAGATAGGTTAAAGATGATATATAGTATGGTTAAAGATGATATATAACATTGATACGCACAACTATAATGCTTCAAAAAAGGCAAGAAGTGAGAGAAAGAGGAATGATATCAAACAAGTTGGTTAAAGATGATATATAATAAATTTCAAGTACATCGAATTATATTATCTATGTACTACAATTACAGGACAAAGATTGTGAGATTGCATAAAACATAAAACTTGAATATATACTGTTTATGACACATTGTAAATATATGAATCTAAAAGGTTGAAAGTAAATGGATGAAAAATAAATGGAAAAAGGGATACTGTTTGATCTTTCTTAACTAGATTTCTCATGAGAAGTAAGTACTAATACACTAGCAGTCACACTATATGTAATGAAGTAATGTTTCTTGTATGTATCTAAAATGGTATAATTATACCCATTATGTAGTAATAAGGGTAAATTAGAAATATATTAGCTTTTCCCATGAATTAAGACCCATTTTGAATCATCACAATGTATTTGATTAAGATACTCTAAACTGGCTAGTTCTCCTATAGTTCCTTTAGCCTAGCTCTCCATCAGAAGTAAAAGTAAATTATACTGGAAACACACAATATCAACAATAGGCCCACACTTTCTCTGCAAGTTTTAATAGTCAATGTCTAGCACAACATTATGGTAATAGCTTGAAATATAAGAAAATATGAGATCAAAAATCAAGGACAAAAAAAAGAAAATGAATCCAATGGTGATCCAGATAATGATGATATCAGTTAAAAAGTTTATAACTAAAATTAATATTCTCACATAACTACAAGAAAGAATTTCAGTTAAAAATTAGAAATTATAAAAACAACCAAATGGGAATTCTAGAGCTAGAAAACATAATTAAACCCTACTTACTACATTCTAAAATTAAGAACTCAGTGGGTAGGGTTTAACAGCATGTTGAAAAATAAAAACAGAATTAATGAACTGGAAGAGAGGTAAAAATAAAACACTGTATCTGAAGCATACAGGAAAAAATAGAGAAGAGTTTAAGAAATGCATAGATAGAGTTTAAGATGCATCGTGATTCCAATAGAGATGTATGCTAAATCTGAGAAAGAGAAAAAAGAATGTATAAAAATTAGAGAGATAAATATTGCAAAAGATCCCCCCCAAAAAAACAAAAAAACCACTGAGTCACATGTAAAAGAAGCTCTATTAACCACAAGAAAACAAATCAAAGTAAAACTATTACAAGTGCCAAGACAATCAGATAATACTGGAGTCTCTTAAAGAAAGTGATTAAAAGAGACCAGATGAAACACACATGAGAGACTGAGGTTGTAGCTCAGTGTTAAGAGCACTTGCCTAGCAAGTGTGAGGCACTGGGTTAGATCCTCAGCACCACATACAAATAAATAAAATAAAGGTATTGTGTCCATCTACAACTAAAACATTGAAAAAAAAAAAAAGAAACATACATGAGATGGAAAAACAAAGCAAATAACACATAGGTACATTTAACAAAAATACATCAGTAATTATATTAAATGAATAAATATGACACATCAAAGACCAAGATTGTAAAAATACAAAGTAAAATAAATACAAAACCCTCAAGACTTAATGGTTGTTTGAGGCTTTTTTTTTTCCTTACGAAGATTATGATCAAATATTCACTAACTAAAATGTTACTCAAAATATTTATTCCCTGGTGTGATATGCTAGATTACCACAGATGTAGCTGACCATTTTTACTTTGAAAATATATCTACCTTTACATGAACTATATCAAAATAAATTATTTTTGCATAAAAAACCCAAAATCCATATACTGTTTAAGAGCCACACACCGTACATACAAGAAGAAAGAAAAGTTAAAAGAATAAAATTTAAAAATAAAGGAAATGTTAAACTAAAACAATATCAAAATAGATTACAAGCACTTCCCAGGCACAAACAGTGACATTTCATAATGAGAAAAGATACAAAGAAGATATAACAACTCTAAATTTGTACACATAGCCTCAAAATATGAAGCAAAAATCCTTACAACTGTAAGGAAAACCAGACAACCCATGATTGCAGTGGGAGATTTTTGCATACCATTCTAAGTAGTTAGTAGAGCAATCAGACCTTAAAAAAACACTTCAATGATATAAAAGATCTGAACATCAGTTGAATAAGTTTTATTCAACAGACTTGCACTGAACACCTATACTCAACAAATATAATAGAAAACACATTGTTTAAAGTATACATGTGGTAATTATAAAAAAAATCATATGTAGAACAATAAGGCAATTCCAAATACATTCAAGGCAAGCAGAAATGCCACCAAATATATTTTCTGACAAAAGTTGAATTAAGCTAGACATAGTTATCAAAAGCTTACATGTAGTTTCCACATGTTTGGTAAGCCATGAATCCCTAAACTCATGAATCAAAGAAGAAAAATCACACAGAAATCATACAGCATTTTGAGTGAATAATAAAACATAACTATGTGATGTAGCTGAAGTGATAATGCAAATATTAGAAAAAGAAAACTTTAAAATACATGATCTAAATATACATCAAAATAATTAAGAGATAAACAATAAATTCAAGGAAAGCAGAAGTAAGGAAATAGAACACTTAACATCAGAAGTTATGAAAGAAAAGAGAAATGCGTAACAGAATGAACAAGGGAATTGTCAGTCCTTTGAAAAAATTAAAACAAAAAAACAAAAACCAAATCTTTGCTAAGGTTCATTTAGTGAAGAAACAAAAAATATCATTATGCAAAAAGGGACATCATTAGAAATCTTAGAGATAATAAAAAACAACATAAGGACATTTTGAACAGCTATATACCCTAAATTAGAAAATTTAGATAATCAAAAAGCACAACTTACCAAAACAGACATAAAAATATGTAGAAAATTTGACTACTAGTACATCAATTTAAAAAATTGAAGATATAACTAAAAATATTCCCCCAAAGAAAACTCCAATCCAGATGACTTCCACAACAAATTTTAACAAATATTTAAGGAAAAAAATAATAGCAATCTTATATATCATCTTTTAGATAGTATATAATCCTTAATATGGTAAAGATTAATTGCAGTAACTCATGCAAAGTGTGTAGCATGGAATAATCATCCTTAAGTAAAACAACAATAATAAAAAACAAAAATTGAACTTATCCATTCAAAACATTGGACTTAAAATCCAAACAATTTAAAGATAAAATTCTGAGGAATTCTAATATGTATAAACTGTTGTCCATCCAAATCATATTTTTAAAAGTTTAAGTCATTTTTCTACCTAAGAGTTGTGATGAGAATTATTTATAGTACATAAGAGAAAATTCTTATAGAAACTTCATGAAAATCTAGAATTACAGTAACTAAACACTGAGTGTTCCATCATCATTACCTCTCTAGAAGCAGGTCTATATCCATAGCCAGAAGGTAAATTTTTGTCTTCTTCACAGCCTTTGGCTCCTGGACTGAAGTGTAATTCAACATGAAAGCGTTCCTCTGAGGAAAGATCCTAAAAAAATATGAAAGAACCTCTTTACAATGAAGAACTTCAAACTATTAATCTGGGAACATAAACAAATCAAGAGCTCTGTTACCTTGTTAGGATCCTCATAAAGCATGATAACAATCTGAGTCATGTAGTTGAGTTCATTGACAACATTTAAATAATCCATGGCTCTTTTCCACTGTTCATCCTTTGATTCCTGAACAAAATACAGTGAGCACTTTCTTATATTTTATTACTTAAAATTAACTTCATTGTTATTATAATAATTTGGCTAATTCTGAGTGATATAACACATATAAGATGAACACTTATGTGTATAATCTTTCAAAATAACTTTACTACATTTAAAAGTTTCAGTATATTTCTTAAGGTTGTTTAAATTATTTAGCAGTGGTATTAAAAATTCAGTGCTCTTTTTTCAAAAGAGCATATTTGAAATAAAAAATAAGGAGTCTCTTGAAATATGATACCCACTACTGAATTCTTAGGGTAAGAAGTGTTTTTTTTTGTTTGTTTGTTTTTAATCTTATTAGTTCAAAAGTATCTATTATATAATATCATGCTCCATAAGAGAATATTATCCTATCAGAGTAGTGTTTTTCTCCACTATCATATGGCTCATATTTTGATATGCCTATCAGTAAATATCTCTTATTTACACTGCAATGACAGTAAACAATTAGCAGGAGGAGCCATATAAAAGTTCTATTTATATTACCCATCTCTTTTGCTGTTTCTCCATCTTCATTTAGAGAATTACTGGACTTTAAACTCATAGAGCATCAGAACAGAAAGGAATCTTTGAGAATATATACTCAAGTATCCCAAGTAGAAAATTCTGATTTTTCTTTCTGTCTTTCTTTCTTTTTTGTACTGGCTACTGACCTCAGGGGCACTTTAACACTGAGCTATATCTCCAGCTCTTTTCATTTCGAAACAGGGTCTCACTAAATTGCTGAGACTGGCTTTGAACTTGCAATCCCTCTGCCTCAGCCTGCTGAGTCACTGGGATTACAGGTGTGTACCACCATAACCAGATAAAAAGTCTATGTAAAAAGGTAAAACTACCCAAAGTATAAAGTCTACAGTTAATTGTAAACAAAGTTTATGTAAATCTTGTGTAAATCAGATAGTTTTTCTTCATCATAAACATGTCATAAGCATTACAAAAAATATAAAAGCACAATTTTTTATATATAAGAATGCACAGTACTAGGAAATTCACTGTAGATTATACAGTGTTTTAAAAAAATATAATGGTAAGATCACATGCTCACATGTACTTCAAAAAAATTCAGTGTATTTCACTTTTATTTTAGATATTATATAATCCTAAAGCACATAATATTTGTGAATAAAAAGTACATCTCTGTGTGTCTATGTGTGTGTGTGTGTGTACATATGTGTTTGGGAAATGATATGTGCAAAGTTGATAAAGGAAAATAAAAATAGCATTACCAAGTTTCACTAGATGTGACTTACTGGAAATGATAAATTTAAACTATTTAATGAATTAGATTTTGATACTACATTATCAAGAACACTATCTAATTTCAGTTATAGATTTTGCTAGGTCTCCTCTAACAAATACATAAAATTAAACAATGTTTAGTAATATCTTCCTTAATACAATTAGTAAGTAAGAAGCCACAAAAATATCTTCTTTTTAAAATCAAGGCTCCTTATATATATTCCCTGAAATCTTATTTCCTTAACAAAACTTTTGAAAGAAAATCTATTATGGATATTTTACATAGTCCATTCTGTGTAATAAAAAATTTCAACTGGGAAGAGACTGAACAAGGTATTAAGTAATTCCTTAAAGATTCTTATCAGGATAGTAACAGTTGTGATAATGAATTGTAGTTGAAATAAATTATATTTTGTTTAACAAAATTAGAAAACAGGACATCATTTGGATACAGATTTTAATTATCATTTTAGTAACACATTTAATTATTTCCAAGAAGCACATTTGTATTTATTTAAATGGTGTTGCTTAGTTTTACTTTTAGAAATTAAGCCTAAATTCAATACATGCCCAACAAGCTCTAGCTTCACTGCCACCATCCTATCCAAACTGTGGTATTTTTCTTTGAATCACCGTATAATAGTTTCCCAAATGATTCCCTCCTTTTCACTCTCATCTACTGTCCATTTATACAGCAACAAAAGTCACTCACTTTCGTGCTGAAAACCTTTCAATGGCATCCTAATCCCCTTAGGATACCAGGCATTGGCTCTCTGATCTTATCTGTTACCTTTTTTTTTTAATTCATCACGCATCAGTATGCTTCAACTACAGACTTTCCAAAATTTCCTATATTTCTCAGGTTCTTACTATCTTTTATATTTGTGCAAGAGTCAAAAAGAAGAACATGTTAGAGATGTATTTCTTTTCCCACAAAACATTTCCATCATTATTACTAGATACCCAAGCTTTTGTCTTGCTAAATATGGGTAATTTTTTTCTATTCACTGTCTTTTATTAAAACTCCACTGATCCATATATGTATGTAAGGATGTCACTTTGCTATTCTTTAGTGGAATAAAAAAGAAAAAACACAAATTTGAATTTTATTTTTAAAAATTCTTTAGATATTGACGGACCTTTATTTTATTCATTTATTTATATGTGGTGCTAAGAATCAAACCCAGGGTCTTACAAGTTTTGCAAGCATTCTACCACTGAGCCACAACCCTGGCCCCATGAATTTGAAATTTTATGGGAACACCAAAAATTCCTAGGCTCAAGGCTTCAAGTTTATGATATAAAAGCATATTCCTAGAGGGTATGGTACTAGCAAAGAGGTTAAGTAAATTTTGCATCTGAGAGGAATATGAATTATTGTGAACAATGAGCATATTGTAGCAGATTGTATTTTCTAAAAATGGCTGCCACATAAATTTAATCCTACATACTCTTCTTACAATGTGACACTGATACTCCATTCATAGTGACATGGGTTATTTCTCCTCCCTTTGAACATGGTTGAACCTCTGTAACTGCCTCAATCAATGCAGCACAAGTGACATGATTCCAGTAGTTAGGACAGAGAAAAGGCATACACTTGCACCTTGCTATGCTAGGAAGCTCACTCTTAGAACTCAACTGCATTGTAAGGAAGCAGGTCATATAAAGAACAGATGCTGTTGTTCTAGTCAGCAATCCCTGTTGATGTCCCAGCTGACAATTGGCATCAAGCACTAGATATGAGAGAACACCTTTGAGATGATTAGAGCCCCAGCCACTGTCTGACAGCAGGCTCATGAGACCCTGAGCAAAAATGCCTAATAGATTTCAGTCAACCCTCTGAACTGTGAGCAATAAAAATAAAATGATGGTGGGTTTTTGTTTTTTTTTAAAGAGAGAGAGAGAGAGAGAGAGAGAGAGAGAGAGAGAGAATTTTTTTAATATTTACTTTTTACTTTTCAGTGGACACAACATCTTTATTTTATTTATTTTTATTTATTTATTTTTTAATGTGGTGCTGAGGATCGAACCCAGAGCCCTGCACATGCCAGGTGAGCATGCTACCGCTTGAGCCACATCCCCAGTCTGATGGTGGGTTTTTTAAACTACCAAGTGTTAGAATGCTATTATATGACAGAAGATAAGAGGCATAATGTCTAATCTGACCCCTAAAATGACTCAAATACATCAGCTTCTCTTCATCCGTTGCTAGCCATCTATAATATCATCTAAAATACTTTGTTATTGGTTGCTCAAATGGATCTTATTTGAAGAAAAGAGAATATTCTCCAAATCTAGCATAGTACTTGTTTTATAGTAAACCCAGGAAAAATGATGGCAAATCGTACAAATGAGTAATGAATTACTAAAATTTCACAGCAAAAACAGTAAGATTATGATTACAAAGAAATTTTATTAGATGGGAATAATTTATTCTACTTACGTTGCATAAGGCACCATATCGAAGAATAGATAATAAAGAATGTACATGACTTTCACTGGTAAAATATAACCTGGTACGGACATGACGTTCAGGAGATAGAACACCTCTGGAATACCTAAATTTAGAAGTAGATGATGTTAAAACATAACCATATAATCAAAAACCAATTAAGTATCAACATTACTTTGTAAAATAGGATTAATCTTAATAGAAGTACAAAAATCCACGATAAATAAATCTATCATTCTCCCAACCACAATTAAGGAGTTATTTTGATATTTTTCCAACATGAAGCTATTTGGAACTAATTAGGTCTTCTGGGATTAGTCAAAGATATTAGTCAAGTTCACTCTATAGAGTCATTTTAGCAATGATAGAGATCACAGTCCTAAAGATGTTTATAGGCATTAATGCTGATGAACTCAGCTTTTTCTTCAAATTGGATTCAAAGAGAGTCTTGGTTGGAGGTTAATATTAGTAATAGGTAATATTACTTCCATAATATACCTGATACACTTCAGTGAATATCAAAAAGTAATTTAGATTTGAAGTATGCACAAATAGATGAATATAGATTTATTAAACGATCAGTCTTACACAGGATGGAGTTTATTTACAGTGTCATCATCTTGTGTCCTCTGAAGGTCTGAGCGAATTTTTCTAACTAGAGGAGTACAGTAACCTTTGGCAATCTCCAGTTTTTCAGCTTTAGTTATACCATATTCCTGAGCAGAAAATACATATTAGAAAAAGGGTATAGTGACAAAGAGCTACAAATGCATTCCCAAATTAAAGAATTCTACTGAAATATAAATGCTGTATTAAGGCTTTTATTATTTTTTTGCAGTAGAATTCAAATGATTTATGTATATACACATTAACACATACACAAGTATAACAAATGAAAAGAAATACAAAAATAATAAAAATGTTATTTTCATTAAAACTGACATTGGTTTAAAATGGGCTTCATTCAAACATATTTTTGAAAGATTTTTAAATTTATATTCTGTTTTCAGAAAAGAAAAAGAGAAATCCTGGAAATAGCCCCTGACTTTGTTTGTTTAACTTTGAAAAGAAGAAATTACTTTATGGTAACCCAAAAAATCCAACATACTTACCAAGTTTATTTTTATATATACAAATATAAGTTTATATATAAAATATATTTTATATATATTATTACTTATAAAATTAAACTCAGGAAAAATATAAGTAGGATTTGTTACTTTTGGTACCTTAAATATATAGGAAACATTTAATATAATTAGGAAGCATTTTCTTCACTAAATGTACTGCTTGTTCATGCCCAGCATGTATTAAGCCTTTTATGAACATTAGACTCCTATTTCGCATTTTTTTTTGCACCTGCAAATATACTATTTTCAAAACATTAAGTATAATTAGAAGAACTTTGTGGTGGAACTAAAAAAGCAAGTAACTTTTAAAGAGAGAACAAGAAATAGATGAGTGCAATCTTTATGAATAGTATTCAATTTAATCAGAAGGTAAAAATGTAAAAATAACCCTAAAAGAAAGATGAACTGAGGTCAGAAAAACTAAAGAATAGTCATAAACATAAAAAGAAATATAATGATTAAAAAGGATAGCACATTCTTCAAAACCCCTTGGTAGGTATTCTTCAAGTTTTAACTAGTGGTGAACAAAAATGCTATGAAATATTCACATTTATGACATCTATAATCATTAAGAGTTAATCAGAATTACAAGGAATTGTTACAATGAGAAATATCAAGAAAACATAGTTATTATAAAGTAATAACAATGACAATTACAGTTCAAGGTGGCAGGTTAGAAAAAACCCTTATATTAGAAAAGAAAAATTAGTTTTGTGTATGGATGGAAAGAGTGGGAGAAGGGGAGAGGTACAAAGTGGGGACGGAAGTGGAAAGCAAGAATATAAAAGAGGGAAGAAACACACATTTCTTCTCTCTCCAAGTTAAATTCTGGGATATATCAATTTAAATTATTTCCTGCTAAAAGATACCTCCATAAAGAGTCAGATAGCCACGGATCTGTATAGAAAACAAACGTCAAAACTTCCTAGTAAACGAAAATGGGGACCAATTACAGATGGAGTACCTATGAAAACAGAACTTCTTGGGCTCACTTATCATAAACTCAAGCTTATTTTCTTATATTCAGTCAATAATCTTGCCAATATAGATAACTGTGAATTAAGTATGTAAGAGGAAATACATACACATACACATGCGCGCACGTGAGCACATACACACACACACACGTGAATATGTGTATAAATAAAAAAATAATGGTAGAATAAAAAACTGGGAAAATTTAAAAAATATTTGTTTTAACAAAACATGAGGAAATACACACTGGTGGTATGGTAAAAAATGGGTTAAAAGGAGTTCTGAAACTAAAGAAATCATCTTAAGTACACAGTAATTTCGTAAAGAAATTGAAAGAAATTAAAAGAATCAGTTTTCTAAGTCCAACAACCTAGTTTAATAACTCACATTCACACTATTCAGCCATTAGGAATAATAATTTATATACAGCTTTATTTATTGATATGTAAAGAAGTTCCTGGTGCTAAATGAAAGTCAAGTTTATAAAACAGTATGCTTTCTTGGTTCCAGTTTTGTAAAGAATTTATATATATGAGAAAAATTACAAATGCATAAATTTTTAAGGAAAAAGGCCTTCGAGACTATTCTAAAACATCAACATGCTTCTCTCTAGCTGATGTTACTGTGATTTTTTGGCTATATATTCACTTTGTAGTTTTATGACACATATATTACTTTCATAATAAAATCTTTTTTTCAACACAGTGACATTTTGCTCATCTGCCATCATCCTTTAGACCCAAATAATTTAGATATCCAAATTCTCATATGCAGTTGCAATTTTTTCTGCCACAAATATAACTGACGAGGCTATTTATTTATTTTTGGTACTGATGATTTTTGGTACTCCAATTTTTCTGAAAATTAGGACTGGTGACATGCTAAATGTACTGTAGCATAAATACCTATAAGTAGTTTAATATTAAAATAACTAAAAGTAGTAGATCATATTTGTCACATAAGCCAAAATACAACTGGAATTACATAATTCACATAGCAGAGATGTAAAAATTGATTTAGGAGTAGAAATTGGTTTTATAGAGAATTAGTAGTGCTTTTAAAGTACACCAGAATGTGATCTAAGGTTTTTTTTTTTTTTTTTTTTCCCACAGATAGTGATGCTTTGTTAATCTGCATTAGTTTTTTTAAACAAGTTAAAAACTTAAAATACATTTGCCCAAGTCAGAAAGTCTCAAAGTCTTAAGTATTAATTATTTCCTTGACAACACAAGTAAATTCTTTTTTTTACTACAAATTCTATTATCATGACAAGTTATTACTATAAATATGATTTTAATTTTTAGTTATGTTCTTAATGGTTGCCATGCTTTAACTTTGTTCATGGTTTTTGGATTTCAAGGCTAAGTTAAAACAAAATAACATTTACTGAACTGAACCCAACATTCTATTTAAAAAAATAATAATAATTCTAAGTTTCTGCCACAATAAGGACTACCAAACTTAAAAAGTTAGAAAATGCCCATTTTCCTCCCCTCAATTTATAAAGTTAACTCAGAGCTCCAGGAAGTATATAAAAAGTACATCTGCTTTTAAAGTTATGAATTTACCAAAAATAGGACTGATTCCTGGACTTTTAAGTTCCAAGTTTTCAAAAATAAATATTCAAGAAAAATAATTTAGGAAATGTCTTCAAATAAATTCCAAGATGCTGTGAAAATCTAATCTAACTGCAGCAGAAAGAATAACTACAATAGAGATAGGGGAGAGCTAAACTTGAATAATTACTTTAAAAGACACAAATGATGGCTCAAATCTTGTATAACCATACTAATCTTGGGTGTTTCTTTTAGTTACTGTTCCTAAAATTTCATTATGAATATTTAAGTTATAAGTACATGGTGAGAAATGTCTTCAACACTAGAAGTAATACATCTGAATGCATAAACAATGTAAAAATAGTTTATCACCTAAAACTCCATTGACACTTGGGTATTCTTTTTATATCCATCCCTTAGAAAACAATTTTTCATACTCAATTCTAAAATGTTGTACACATTTAACACAGACACAAAAATCCAGAGGGTTAAATTAAATAAGCTATATAATAACACAAACATGAATATGCTAATAATCAGATAAGAATTTGTTTATTTATTTAGCTACTGGGTACATAATACATTTAGATATATTGAATGCCTGCCTTGAAAAGTGCATGTAGACAACATAAATGTTTTCAAAGGCCTTATATTTGTAGCTAATTGTTCAAAAGTATACTTTCGAATAATCCCCATTGTAAACATAAGTACAACTAAAACATTGAGCTATAACTAAAGTTAAAGCAACTCAAATCAATAAAAAAAAAATCAGGGTCTTATTTATGCTTCCAGTGTAAACTCTGAATTACCAGTAATCATTTTTTTAATCTTTCATAGGAAAATCTGAATAAATACCTTGAATTACAAAATAAAGATAGATGCCAATTCAGAAGTTCAGCGTTAGCTTGATGATCATCTATCTTTACCTACAGTTAAAACTGCAGAATTGTGTGTGCACTTTCATGGTAATCTTCACATATCCTATGTTATAAAAATAAAACTTTGTATTCTATAAAATTTTTCTTTTGCAAATTAAAATGTTTTATTTTGACAATGAGAATGACAATAATTATAACAAAACTCTTTAAAGCTAATACATTTTCAGTTGTGAAAAATGATGGTAAATGAATGAATCCTGTTTTCTAAAGCAATTCCCAAAGACATAATCTTGATGTCCAAGATATTTTTACCCCTTTTTTAAATGGACTCATATTTTTGGTAATGGAAATTAAGCACAGGGCATGTGCATGTCAGGAAAGTGTTTTAACCACTGAGTGATACCTCTAGATGTAGGATTCATGTTTTTAGAACACTGATTCATACAATATTTCTGAAACTGTGTATGTTATACATCTGACCAAATATATGATCACTGAACAAACAAAATATTCACAAATAACTGTACAAATATCTGTAAGTAGATTGTATACTGCCTGAACTTCTAGTTGTTCAAAGTCTATTATTTATTTGGACTATTGGTGAATTTTAGGAAAGGGACACTAAGGACAGTGGCATTATTTAAAACATTTTTATATACTGGCATCCATAGTGAGGCTATTTGAACTTTTGTTATGGTTTATCATTTTCACATATTTTGTTTCTTCCTGCTTTTTTACTTTAGTTAAAGTTGGAATATCTGATCCACTCCAAGCTCTGCTTTATAATATCTAACTTTCTTTGTAACTGAATTGGAAAGAAATCCTAAAGTGGCATCTGAAACTTTTTCTCTTCTAACATATTCTTTATTTTTTTCTTTTTTTAAAATTTTGAGACAGGGTCTGGCCTTCAACTTGTGATCCTCCTGGCTCAGTCTCCTGAGTAGTCGGGATTAAAGGCATACACCACTGCATCTGGCTCTTCTAACAAATTTTTGATTTCTATATGATTTGTCGCTTGCTTCTTTACTATTAATCTGCTTGATGGCATTTTAGTTATTTGAATTCTGGTTAGAACTTTAGTTTTATTCTCCTATAACAAAAAGACCCATATTCCTCAAAGCCTTATTTTCAAAAAAATTTTAACATAGAGTAAAAAGACTTGCAAAAAAATTTTTTTTGGGGGAAGGGGGTGTAGGGAAAGAGGACAGTACTAGAGGTTGGACCCAGAACCTTGTACAGGTAAGTCAAGCATTCTACCATTGAACTACATCCCCAGCTTGCAAATATATATTTTTTTCCCATTTTCCATTGTTTTCATAATAGAGTTGATAGGGGCACAACATTTCTTCATAATTTGTTAAGTGATTTATTTATTCCATAACTTTTTTTCATTTGTTTTGTTTGTGAGCATATTATTGTTCTTCAGAGAATTGATTCTTAAATTTAAATTCTTAAAAGTCACTATATTCTTAGGACATAAAACTAATCTGTCTGATATTATACTTATGGAAACACATCACTACGCATTTGTAAAAACTTAGAATATATAAACCAGGACTGAATTCTATAAACCCTAGGTGATAATGATGTCACCTTAGGTTCATCAGTTGTAACAAGTGTGATGTTTATAATGGGAAAGGAGAGAGGGCTCTGTGTAGGAACAGACAATATATGGAAAATCTATGTATCATTCATTCAATTTTACTGTGAACTTACAACTGCTCTAATAAATAGGATACTTTTAAAAAAGTCATTACAATCAAATCAATGTTAGCAACTCTCAGATATTATGATTATAATAAACAATAAAAAGCCTTACAATATAAATTCATAATTATAAAGTTAATGGTTTTCTAGGGCCATGAAAACCAACTATGTTTTATCTATTGGTAGACTGTTAAAAAGCATCTATTTTATACAATAGTGTAAGAAAATATATTCTTGAGAACTACTTACCTGAGGGATAACAATGTCTGCTAATGCCTTTGAAAGCCTATATAATTCCATTGTATTTTCTAATTGCAAGGAACCATTATGCTGGACATCATATTTTATACAGTCATATATGTCAGGGATCTTACTAATATCATATCGTCCATTCTTTGTTTTAAAATCTTTCTCCAACTTGGACCATCGACGTAACATAAGCTCCAATGTTTCACTATGGTAAAGCTGAATATCTAGAATAAAATATCATTTTTAGTATATTCAAATTTAAAAACCTGATAAAGAACATATATTAAAATATTAAAAACTTTAATTAGAAATACTGAAGTGAAAAAGAAAAATATAGGAAGTTAGGAAATATTATCATAGGCATAGGCCATTAATAGCCAATTTTTTGACTTGGATAAGTACTCGTTATAAATACTAGAAACTTTTTATAAAAGATCTTTCCATATATTACAGAATTCAATAATAATACAAAAAAAGAACAACAATTTTAACAAAACTATTTTTAGGTACAACATTTTCAATTCTGAATTTTAAGTACTATTATTTTTCTAGATTCAAATAATTAACAGAATAGGCAACTATCATTAGCAGATAAGAATCTTAGAAATTAAAAACGATTCAAATGACTCAATTGTATCAGTAAGAAATCCAAGATGTCAAAATCGTTAACCAAGCTAGCCTTGGAGTAAGGGCTCATATTATCTTGTTTGCTCTTTGTTCTCAGGGTGTATAGTCACTGCTTAATTATTGGGCAATGCTAAATAATTAATCAAATGAAAAATGTTTTATTGCCTTTTTCATGTTGTCATGGATAAAAGCAACCATAACTTAGCTATTGTCCTTTTGTCATATATATATATATTTAACCACATAATCATTATTAATAAATTAATATATATTTATAAGAATCTGTGCATCCTAATCTTGCACCAAAGACAGTTTAGTGATACATGATTTTTAAGTAATACTGGCACAATAGTTTGTAAAGCTTCACATAATGGTTACCATCACATTTAAAAAAAATTGGCATAAAATCTGACAAATATGTGATAAAATATAGTATATATTAATATACATGTAAGTAGATCTCAGGAGAAAGCCTTGATTTTTTTTGAGGGTGGGTAGTAGGGATTGAACTCAAGGGCACTCAACCACTGGGCCACATCCCCAGCCTTATTTTGTATTTTATTTGGGGAGGAGGGTCTCACTGAGTTGCTTTGTGCTTTGCTTTTGCTAAGTCTGGCTTTAAACTTGCCTCAGCGTCCAAGATACTGATTACAGGTGTGTGCTACCATGCCTGGCTTAATTTCTTAAAATAAGGAGATTGGTGCATTATTTTGAAATGTTTGCAGTAATTGGGCAACAAATTTTACTGTTCTATATTTAAAAAAAACATATTTACCTGATGATTTGGGGTCTTCCATACGATGTCTGATTTGAGAAGTCAAACTTTGAATCAAAGAATAAACTTTGTCACAGGTCTTCACAGGATTTTTAATTAAATGCATTGATTTGATAAGAGAAATGCTTCCAGATGGAGTAAGCTATATAAATGAGTAAAGTATATATTTTATATCTGTTTATGCCTAGTTATCTAAGAGAATGATATAGTAATAGGAAAATAATTCTATTTCATGAATTAAGATGACATGCAAAATATAGCCATAAGATCAAGAGGGGTGAAAAAGGCTAGAATTTCATGTTACAAAATCCTTAAACTCTAGGTATCATCTGATTAGTCATAAAGAAAATTTAGCAAAAGTATTCTTAACTCAAATGATGAGATTTGATGAGAATTTGCTGGTTTGTACAATACAGGCAAATATAGTTTCAACTACTTGACATATATTTACATGTAATTACACTAAGATATTGTTATTATCAAGACCTTATTCTAGACAAGGTACTTAACTAGATTTAAAGCTATAAGTGATAACATAGTTCCAAATTCCAGTTTTGACATGTAGCTTAGCAACTTATTTAACCACAAGAAGTTTAAGTTTCTATCAAAATAAATAAATATAAAATAGAAAAATCTACTTCTGGTTATAGTGGACTAGGAGGCTTAGACCAATCAAATTGATGACGGTAAGTAAAAATCCTGGGCAAAAAACTTCTACATCTTTGTTTTAAGACATCTGAGAGAAAATAGGTCACAAAGAATTGTAAAAACAAAACTCAGTGATAAGTGATACAGAAAGTAGGCCTGTCATTAAAGAATGTTTTTACACTGGAAATATCTGTTGATTTTAGAGAAAAACTAGACAAAACTATAATAACCTTATGGGACTAATAGGAGAAAACGGAGTCCAGGTTTGACCAAAGGTGGAACTCTGGTAATTTCCTTGCTTTTAGGGTACAAAAAAAGTGAGGGTGAACCAGAAGCAAATGAACTGACCAACAAATTGCAAACCAGCTTAACCTCAACTGGCCTGGCCAGAAAGATCTGTTTTTAAAGTTGGTTTATGGCAATCCCAGACTGTTATGTGTAGGAACACATATGTGCAGGAACAAATAAGAGACACCAGAAGAAGATAAAATAATTTCAATCTCAAGTTGTTTCCACAAACAAAGTATCAATCTACAACTAATGATACATATTCAAGGCACACAAGAAAACAAGATATCAGGAACACCCATCATCAGAACAGACAACAGAAACAGAACCAAACTCAGTTACTAGGATTAGAATTATTAAATACAACTAAAAAATAAGACTTCCTATGTTAAAGAAAATAAAACATTAAAAATCAAAGATCTGAAAATTTTTTGAAAAGCAAATAGAAATTCTAGGATGGAAAAACACAGTGATTAGTTTTAAATACTTTAAATGTAGTGAAAAATGGTAAACTTAAAGATAGGTTAGAATATTATACCCAGAAAAAGGACAGAGACAAAAGGATGAAATTTCCAAAACTAACAGAAGATATCAAGCCACATTTCCAATAAGTCTAACAAATCACTAAAAACACAAAAAGTAATCTATAAGGGCTGAGGAGATATAGCTTAGAGTAGCTGCCTAGCATATATGCAAAACACTGGGTTTATTACAGATAACCTCATGAGAAAAAAAAATGGTAACCTACATTTAGACATACACCAGAAAACTGCTGCAAACCAAAGATAAAAATAAAATGTTAAAAGTACCCATGAGGATTTGAAAACAGCAAAAAAGATCATCTTCAAAGGTATAACAAAAAAACTAACATCTGACTTCTCACTTCTCAATATAAACATGGAGTGTTGGAGATAATGAAATAAAAACTTCAATGCACCAAAAGAAAATTACGTGCCATCCTAGAATTCTATATCCAATGAAAATGTTTACCAAGAGGAAAGTTGAAACAATGACATCTTCAGACAAACAATGCCCCCTGGGAATTCACAATAAGAGACTTACACTAATGGAATTACTATATTGTTTTTTCAAACTTAAGAAAAAGATCCAAAATTATAGCTCAGAAATTCAAGAAACAACGAAGAATAACTAAAAGGATAAATTAAACTTCTGGCAAATGGTGAAATAGAACATAGCATACACTTTCCTCCCACAAAAAAGGACCAAATATAAAGACTAAACAGTGGTTACTTGGCTAGAATATTTGGGGGAGAGCAATGAAGTGTAACGTAGATGCAATGGGGAAACTGCAACAGAATTATGATGGCCCTGTAAAGAAGGGAATAAAGTGTCTTGCATCACCCACTCAGCTGCCACAGTCTTAACTCTATGAACTTGGGAAAGTCTTCTCATTGATGAGGAAAAAAGTAAATAGGAGTCCACACTGACATTTGAAGTTTTTGCTACTGTGGAATCCTGCAGCCTCCAAAGGCCTTGATCTAGTTTGGGGTACATCTCCCCAACCGCAGGAGTGGCTTCGCTCCTGCAGGGCCTGCATATACTGAGCCATACTTGCAGGCCTGTTGGAATAGTCCTACAGGACCCATAGTGACAGATAGGCATTTTCCCACTGCCATGCACACCATGTTATAAGAACAAGTGGACATGCAGTAGATTTCCAGACTGCTGCTGGATACAAAGTGCCATACTCACCATGGTGCTAAAAATGTCCAGTGCAATCCACAGGCTACCTGCCACCTCCCACCAAATGAATGACACCTAAATTAATCACAGCAGAAGAAGCTATATTACTGTACACAACTGAATCCAAAGCCAATCTAATATACCAAATGGACAGTATAAGATACTCTCAAGAGAAAATCTTTTACTCCAAAAGCCAGTTGATAAAATTGGAAGACAGAAAAGACAGGCCATATGTACAAATATCAACTTAAGGATAAAAGAAGTGTGAAAAAGAAAGTAATCTAATGCCTCCAAAGGAAGCACCAATCTCCAGAGAAAAGAAAACTGATGAAATGCCTGACGGAAAAAAATCCGAAATAATCGTTCTAAGGACACTCAAAGAAATACCAAAATATAAATACAGACACGTTAACAAAATTAGAAAAAGAGTGAATGATACGAATGAGAAATTTAGGAAAGGGAGAGAGATCACAAAAGAGAGTCAAACAAATCTTGGAGCTAAAGAATTCAGTGAGTAAAACCAAAACCAAAATAACAACAACAACAAAACTATATACATACACACAGTTGGGAGCATTTATAACAGAATACATCAAACAGAACAAGGGATTTCTGAACTTGAAGACAAAGAAAAGAAAGGGGCGGGGGAGAGGGAAAGACCAGACAATGCCTTCAAGACTTATAAGATACCATTAAGTAAACAAATGTTTAAATTATAAGTATCTGATTAATATAGAAAGAGAAGGGAAAAAGCCTAGAAAATCTATTCATCAAAATAATGACTGAAGACTCCCCAAATCTAGATTCAGGAGGCTCAAAAGACTCCAAATACAGTTGATCAAAAACCCTGTTTATTTCAAAGTCAAAAGTCCAAAGTGAACAGAGACTTCTAAAAACAAGAGTAAAGTGCTAATTCACATTTAAGAGAACTTCCATTAGTTTAGGAGATACAAAAAGAGAAAGAAAAAAAGGAATCAAACCATATCAGTACAGAAAACCACCAAACCAAACCACAAAAATAAACAAGAGAAGGGACAAAGTATATACAAGACAACCAGAAAATGCCACGAATAATTCATTATTTATCAATAATAACTTTGAATATAAAAATAAAACTACCCAGTTAAAAGACTTGATTGGCTGAATGGATAAAAAACAACAACCAGTGACATTGTATCTACAAGAAACTTACCTCATTGGTACAGACACATATAGACTGAAAATAAGAGAATAAAAAAAAAATTCCATGCAAATGGAAACCAAAAGCGAGAAATAGCAGCTATATTAATATCAAATAAAATAGACTTTAGGTAAATACTACAAAAAGAAACAAGGAAGATCAGTATATAATAATTTTGGGCTCAATTCATAAAGATGATATAAAAATTATATAAGCGCCCAATTCTGGAGCACCCAATCATATAAAAGCAAATAGTACTAGATCTAAAGTGAGATACAGACTTTAATATAATAATATGTTATATTATTATATTATAATATATATATATATAATCTCACTTTCATCAATGGATAAATCATCCAGACCAAAAGAAAAAAATAAAGCAAAACAAACAAAAAACAAACACAACAAAACAACATCAGAACTGAACTATACTACAGATTAAATGGAAAGAATAGACATTAAAAATATTTTATTTAACAGCTATGGAATACATATTTTTCTCATCAGCACATAGAACATTCTCCAGGAAAGACCATATATGTTAGGCCACAAAATATCCCAACGAATTTCAATAAGTCAAAATGGTAGCATTTGGCTTCTCGGACCACACGGTATAGGACAGCAAATCTACATAAGGAATTTTAGAAACTGTACAAATACACAGAAACTAAACAACAAGCACCTGAATGAAAAATGGGTCATTCAAAGAATCCAAAAAAAAAAAAAAAAAACACATTTATTGAACAAATGAAAATGGAAACACAACATACCAAAACCCATGGTGCTATAGCAAAAGTAGTAGTAGAGAAGAATTTATAGAAATAAGTGCCTACATTAAAAAAAAAAAAAGAAAGAAAGAAAGAAAAGAAAGATTTCAAACAACCTAACAATGTAAATCAAGGAACTAGAAAAGCATGGAAAAACCAAATCCAAAATTAGCAGAAGTAAATAACAAAAATCAGAGCTGAAATAATAGACTACCAAAAATCAATCAACTCCTGCAAAGCTAAAAGATCAACAAAACCAAGTGTTAGTCTTTTTGAAAAGATACACAAAATCAACAAACCTTTTGCTAGTCTCATCAAGAAAAAAGAAAACCCAAATAAATAAAATAAGACATGAAAAGGAGAAAGTATAATTCAGAGCACAGAAATACAAGGAATCATTAATGAATATCATGAACAACTATATGCCAACAAATGGGAAAAATAAAAAGTGAATGGAAAATTCTAGACACATATAAACTATCAAAAATGAACCATAAAGGCACAGAAAACTTTAACAGCCAGATAACAAGTACAAAGACTGGAAAAAATAATCAAAAAGTCCCCCTAAAAAGAGAAGCCCAGGAACAGATGCCTTCATTGTTGAATTCCACCAAACATTTAAAGAACTAACACCAAGGGCTGGGGTTGTTGCTCAGTGGTAGAGTGCTTGCCTAGCAAGTGTGAGGTGCTGGGTTTGATTCTCAGCACCACATAAAAAAATAAATAAAACAAAAAGATATTGTATCTAATCACAACTAAAAATTTTAAAAAGCAAAACCAAAAGCTAACAACAATTCTTCTCAAATTATCCCAAAGAATGAAAAAGGCTGAAATTATTTCAAATTTATTCTATAAGACCAGCATTACCCTGATACCAAAGTCAAACAGGGACACACAAAAAAAGAAAACAACAAACCAGTATTCTGAGATTCACACAGACACAAAACCAAACAACAGCAAAACCAAAGCCAAAACAGATTACGCATCATAATCAATGGGAACTTAGAAGTGCAATGATGGTTCAATATACACAATTAAACATCACATCTACAGAATGAAGGATAAAAATAATATGACCATGTCAACAGACGCAGAAAAAGTGTTTGACAAAATTCAACATCCCTTCATGATAAAGACTCTCAAAAAACTAGGTATACAAGGAACATATCTCAATATAATACAGACTATATATGACAAACCCACAGTCAATATCATATTGCACAAAGAAACCTGAAAGTATTTCCTCTAGGGACTGAACAAAGACAAGAATGTTCCTTCCCTTTCGCTACTCTTGCTCAACATAGTATTGGAAGTTTTAGCCACAGTAATTACTGAAGAGAAGAAAATGAAAGACTCAAGTAAGAAGGAAAGAAGATAAATTATCCTTGTTTTGTATAAGACATGATTCTGTACACAGAAAAAAAAGAAGGCTCTACAAAAAGATTGTCAGAATGGATAAACAAATCCAATAAAGTTTCAGAATAGAGGGAACATACAAAAATCAGTAGCATTTTTATATACCAATTAACAGACTTCTTGGGAAAGAAACCAAGAAAGTGATCTAATTCCCAAGAGCTAAAAATTACAAATAGTAGCAGTCATAGTAATAATAATACACCTAGGAATCAGTTTAACCAAAGAAGTTAATAACTTTTATAATGAAAATTACAATGTAATGAAAAAAACTGATGACAAAAATAAATGGAAATATCTCCATGTTCATGGATTTAAGTGTTACTCTTGTGAAAATGTCTATACTACCAAAAGTGCTATAAAGACTCAAAGCAATCCTTATCAAAATATCAAGGACCTTCTTCACAGAAATAGAAAAAGCAATCCTAAAATTAATTTGGAACTACACAAGTCACCGGTCAAAACAATCTTAAGCAAAACAAAAACAAAAACAAAACAAACAAACAAACAACAACAACAAAACCCCCAAAAAGCTAGAAGTATCAAGATTGCCCCTATATCTAGACATACTCTAGGGATACATTAACCAAGACAACATGGTACTGGCATAAAAACCAATACACAGACCAATGGAACAGAATATAGAACCCAGAAACAAATCACATATCAAAGCCAACTAGTTTTCAACAAAGGTACTTAAAACATAAAGAAAGGATAACATCCTCAATAAACAGTGCTAGAAAAACTGGATATTCACATGCAGAGGAATAAAACCACACCATTATCATCATATATAGAGTCAACTCAAATTGGATCAAAAATGAAAACCACAAACCTACTGGAAATAAAAAACAACAACAAAAAACAAACATAGAAAAACTAAGACCCCCAAAAGAAAAGTAAATGAATGAATGGGATTATATCACATTAAGAGGCTTCTGCGTAGCAAAGGATATAACCAAGAATGAAGAGACAACCTACAGTATGAGAGAAGATATTTGTCAAGGTTATTATCTAGACTATACAAGGAACTTTAAAAAACTCAACAAATCATCATCATCATCATCATCATCATTAAATGGGCAAATCATCTGAATAGAAATTTCTCAACAGAAGATATACAAATGCCCAAAAAGTATATGAAAAATGCTCAATATCAGTAGTCATCAGGGAATTGCAAATCAAAACCACAATTACATATCAACTAGATATTACTTCTGAAGATAGTTATAAACAGACATATAGAAGAACATAGCAATATTGACAAAGACATAACTGAGAAGTACTAAACTATTCTTGATATCAAAATTCCTAACTTTCCCACAAACTAAATTTCCACAGGATTTGCCATAGTATTTACCAATACAGTTAAGTAAAAAGTAATAAAACATTGGCACATAAACTACTTCCATCAAATAGGATGCACTCCCTAGCTAATTTTATGAGCCTAGAATAATTCTTACACTGGAAGCAAAGATATAACAAATATAGAAAAAGGAAAGGCCAGTCTAATTCAGGAACACAAAACTACTAACGAAAAATAATAGTGAAATCAAAATCTGTGACATATAAAAAGATACTACTTAAAAATAATTGAGTTTGTGCTTGCTTTGGCAGCACACATACTAAAATTGGAACAATACAGAGAAGATTAGCATGGCCCTTGTGCAAGGATGACATGCAAATTCATGAAGTGTTCCATATTTTTTAAACCCCTATCTCTCACCATGCACAAAACTTAATTCAAAATGGATCAAGGACCTAGGAATTAAACCAGAGACCCTGTATCCAATAGAAGAAAAAGTAGGCCCTAATCTTCATCATGTGAGATTAGGCCCCAACTTCCTTAATAAGATTCCTATAGCGCAAGAATTAAAACTGAGAATCAATAAATGGGATGGAATCAAACTAAAAAGTTTCTTCTCAGCAAAAGAAACAATCTGTGAAGTGAACAGAGAGCCTGCATCCTGGGAGCAAATTTTTACCCCTCACACATCAGACAGAGCACTAATCTCTAGGGTACATAAAAAACTCAAAAAGCTAAGCACCAAAAAATACAAATAACCCAATCAACCAATGGGCCAAGGACCTAAACAGGCACTTCTCAGAAGAGGATATTCAATCAATCAACAAATATATGAAAAAATGTTCATCATCTCTAGCAATTAGAGAAATGCAAATCAAAACTACTCTAAGATATCATCTCACTCCAGTCAGAATGGCAGCTATTATGAAGACAAACAACAATAAGTGTTGGCAAGGATGTGAGGGAAAAGGTACATTCATACATTGCTGGTGGGACTGCAAATTGGTGCAGCCAATATGGAAAGCAGTATGGAGACCCCTTGGAAAAATGGGAATGGAACCACCATTTGACCCAGCTATCCCTCTCCTTGGTCTATACCCAAAGGACTTAAAAACAGCATACTACAGAGACACAGCCACATCAATGTTTATAGCAGCACAATTCACAATAGCTAAACTGTGGAGCCAACCTAGATGCCCTTCAGTGGATGAATGGATAAAAAAAAATGTGGCATATATACACAATGGAATTTTACTCAGCAATAAAAGAGAATAAAATCATGACATGTGTAGGTAAATGGATGGACTTAGAGAAGATAATGCTAAGTGAGGATAGCCAATCCCCAAAACACAAATGCCCAATGTTTTCTCTGATACAAGGAGGCTTACTCATAGTGGGATAGGGAGGGGGAGCATGGGAGGAATAGATGAATTCTAGATAGGGAAGGGGGTGGGAGGGAAAGGAAGAAGGCAGGGGATTAGCAAGGATGGTGGAATGTGGTAGACATCATTACCCAAAGTACATGTATGAAAACAGGAATTGGGTGTCAACATACTTTAGATACAAACAGATTTGAAAAATTGTGGTATATATGTGTAATAAGAATTGTAATGCATTCCGCTGTCATTTTTTTTAAGTCAATAAAAAAAGAGAAATGGCAAAATAAATAAATAAAATGGTTGAGTTTATTCTAGGATCAAAGTTAGTTTTACATTTTAAAACAGCACACATAATTCACAAAAAAATTAAAGAAATTTTCATGCTAAAAAATCAGCAAAATAGTAATAGAGTAGAATTTCTTTACTTTGAAAAACAGTCATTATTGATAATTATGAACAGAAAGCTTCATGCTTAATTGGCAAATGTTAAAAGCATTCTTTCTAGAATATGGATAAGAAAAGAAATGTTACTTCTATTTAATAATGTTTGAAGGATACTAGGCATTGAACTAAGGCAAGAAAAAGAATTTTAAAAATACATAAAGACTGGGAAATAAAAACACTGAGTATTTTTAAAGAATCAAAGAGCAGGGCATAGCAGAACACACCTATAATCCCAGAGACTCTAAAGCCTGAGGCAGAGGAGGATCACAAGTTGAAAGCCAACCTGGGCAACTTAGTGAGACCTTGTCTCAAAATAAAATAAAAAGGGCTGGGGATGTAGCTCAATGGTAGTGTGCTTGCCTTGTATGGCAAGGCCATGGGATTAATCCCCAGAATTGCAAAAATAAACAAATAAATAAATAAATAAATAAAAACCCCACTAAATAAACTATGAGAGATTAATGAACTTGACAAGGTTGATGCATGTATTGCTAATACTAAAGAACTAAATCATATTTCTATATTGCAATAAAGAATGAAAATTTTAAAAATGTATTAAAAAATGTCAATTAACTCAACCTAAGTCTAACAAAGATATGTAAGACTTTTATTCAGGACATTGTAAAATCTTATTGAAAGCATTCTTTAAAATCTTAATGAACCATACTACATTCACAGACTGAAAGTCTAGATAAAAGATGTAAATCTGTATAAACTACAGATTTCATTCAATCTATATAAAAATCCCCCAAAGAAATTTTGATCAGTTTATTTTAAATTTTAAATGGAAATGCAAGAAAAGCCAAGAAATACTTGAAAAAGGGCCCTCGTGGAGTTGAAAGATCTTAATTAATTGGCACTACATAAGGATCAACAAATAGACTCCAAAACCAGACTACCTATATTTGATAAAGACAGTATTACAGTTTAGTAAGGAAAGAACAGTCTTTTGAGGAGGTGCCCAAACAACTGCATGTACACAGACTTGCAGGGGTGGGGGGAAAAAAACAATTTTCATCCCTTTACTCATAGGACACACAAAGTCAACATTATCTGGATTGCAGATAAATGTGATGGGAAAATAGTAAAATTATAGAAAATCTATAGGAGAATATCTTACAAACTTTGTTTAAAAAAAATATATTTTAAACAGTACATTAAAATACATATTTTCTTCACTTCAGGTAAAATATTTCATTTTATGTGACAGCTGAGCAGAAGGCACTTGATAGATAACTTCTGGACTTTGGCATTTAGGAGCTTATAATCTAGCAGATATAGCATGACTGAATTAAATACATTGGACAGATCAGTATGAAAATAGAGAAGGGAGAAGCAGTACTTCTCTGAAGAAAGTTAGAAGCCTTCTTACTGAGTATGTAGGATGTTCTCAGCATTATTAATCATAACATCCCCAAACTGTAAAAGTAGCAGAAAGCATATATAAATTACAAAATATTCACAAAATAGAATATGGGTCAGCAAACAATACTCTGCAAGCCAAATATGAACTGTAGTATAGCCTAGGATCTAAGAATGGTTTCTATGTTTTTAAAGGATAGTCAAAGCCAGGCACAGTGTCTCATACCTGTAATCCCAGTGACTAGGAAGGCTGAGGCAGAGGATTGCAAGTTTGAGGCCAGCCTCAGCAATTTAAATGAGGGTCTTAGCAACTTAGTGAAACCCTGTCTCAAAATTAAAAATAAGGGTTGGGAATGTAGCTCAGTGGTTAAGCACTCCTGGGTTAACTCCAAAAGTACCAGGAGAAAATTGAAAAAAAAAAAGGGTAGCAGGAAAGTCAAAAAAAGAAAAGAAATGCAAAAGAGAGACAATATTTGACCCAAGCCTAAAATATTTACCATCGGATCTACAGAAAAATCTGCTAACTCTAAAATGGAATATTTCATAGTAGTGATTATTAACTATGGAAATAAGCAACATTATGAATGTATTTCATTAGCATAATATTGAGCAAAAGAAAATATTTCTATTATATGAAGCTTTAAAAAATACAGCACAAAGTAAATTAGTACAGTCATTAAAGAAAGCAGTATGGAGGCTTCACAAAAAACAGAACTATCACATTCTCCAATAATTCCATTTCTGGGTATATATCCAAAGGAAATGTAATAAGTACATTGAAGAGACATCTGCATTCCATGTTCTTTGTAGGACTGTTTACAATAGCTATTTTATAATTTATATAAGCTTTCTGCTACTTTTATAGTTTGGGGCTGTTATGATTAATGCTGCTGTGAACATCCTACTATGCCTCCTGGTGCAGATGTACACAAGTTTCTTTGGGTATCTAGGAGTGGAACTGTGAACGATAATATGCTTGTTTAATATTAGTAGATAAACTGTTTTTAAAGTTATTGAACCAATGTGAATTCCCAAGTGTCCACCTTAAACTAAAATATAAATATTAAAAAAAAGAGATCTCACATGGTGACTATAATTAAGAGAAATGTATTTTAGTTTTAAAAATCCTTAAGAGAGCAGTTTTGAAGTATTCTCACCACAAAAATATTAAGTATATGATCCTAATGTATGTATTAATTATCTCATTTAGCCATTCCATAATGGATTTTTATTTCCAAAGATCATGTTGTATAAAAATAAACATATACAATTTTTGTCATTTAAAATAAATAAATATTCTAGGCATAGTGAAGCATGACTGCAACCCTACCAACTCAGGAGGCTGAAGCAAGAAGATTCCAAGTTTGAGGCTAAATCTCAGGAACTTCATGGGACCCTGTCTCAAAATAAAATTTAAAAAAACTGGGAATATAGCTCAGTGGTAGGATACTTGCTTAGCATGTGCAGAGGCCTGGATTCAATCCCTAATTCAACAAAATAAAATAGATTTAAAGTTTAAAATAAAAGAATATATAAAGGATGCACAAAATTCAACATAAAAAAATAGAGTCATTGCCTAATCAAAAAATGGGCAAATGATCTGAATAGATACCTCTGAACAGAAGATATACAAATGGCCAACAAAAATATATGAAAAAAAATCCTCAATATCTTTGACCATCAAGGAAATGAAAATCAAAACTACAATGAGATTTCATCTCACTATAGTTAACAATGACTATTATAATTTTTAAAAAACAAAACAAACAAAAAACAAATAAGAACTGGCAAGGATATGCAGAAAAGGAACTCTTAGTGGAAACACTGTGGAAAAAAATATGGAGGTTTCTCAAAAAAATTAAACAAAACTACTTTATGATCCATGTAAATCACTCTTTGGTATTTTTCTTAGGAAATGAAGTCAGTATACAAAAGAGATACCTGCACACCCATGTTTATTGTGGCATAATTCACAATAGCCAAAATTTGGAATCAGCCTAGATACCATCTACTGATGATAAAGAAGATATGGTACATATACACAAGTCATAAAGAATGAAATTCTGTCATTTTTCGAGAAAACAGATGGAGTTGGAGATCCACATTTTAAGTTAAATGAGTCAGACACAGAAAAACAAGAATCACATGTTTCCTCCCAATTGTGAAAACTAAGAAAATAAAAGATGACCTTAAGGTTGAAGACAGACCATGAGGGAATGGAAAGGGTGCCAAGGGTGGAAGGGTGAGGTAGAAGAATAGAAGAAGGGTAGATGTACGTGATTAATGTCTGATAGATGCATGTATAAAAATATCACAGAGAATCCCATCAATTTGTATAATTAGTATGTGTTTATAATTATAAGAAGAAAGTTCACAAAAATAAAAATAAACTTATATGGGAAAAAAAAAAAAAGCCCAAAATGAGACTACAGTGGTTAGATACATGGCTAATACTTTTATGTTTATCCAAATAAGTATTCTGGATATGATAAGATTGTTAACTATCATCCTTAGTTTTTTTTATGGCTTTTTTTTTTTTTTTTAACAAAGGATGATAGCTATTTCAAGAAGATAGGAATGAGTTGCAATAGGGAAGGGAAGGATAGACAGCGATCAAAATTGGTCCAGCGTTCAATTGCTCTACCTGGTGGTAACATATGAATATTTGCTTTATAATATAATGAGCTCTACATTAACATTTCATTCACTTTTTTCTTCATGTAATAGTTCATAATAGAAGAGTTTGCTAAGACCCACCTTTTCATAATCTTCAGCAGTAAAATCTCTGTCTTTCTGAAGTATTTCATGAAGTCTTGCTTTCACACGTTGTTGACAACTGCTTAAAGAGTCACTATCACTATCCAAAAGACCATTCATATTTGCACTTTTCACCATCTGAACAAGAATGGGTGTAAGCTCCCCTTCTAAAGCCAACAGACCCTAAACATATTAAATGAAGTAAAAAATTTAAAAAATTAATATGCAAAATAGAAAGTATCATAATAATTGTTACATTCTGAATTTCATAATGTATAAGCTAAATATTTTTAAAAAATAAATATTATTAGTAATATAGTTCACATTGTCAGTTGATAGCTTTAGTTGGAAGTTCAAAATTTGGAATTTTTAAATACTGTCTTAGTGAAAATCTTAAAACAATGAAATTGTAGATGACAATTCCAATAATTAAAAACAAAACAAAACATCTATTTTTACCTTTGCAAAAGCTGCTGCAGTCATCTGAACTCGTCCTTCATCAGAGGCATATATTTTGAGGTCATGTCGGTAGGTACTATGTAATCGAAGCAAACCACAACCAGGAAATCCTGCATAATCTCCTGAAAATAAATCCTCAAATCACTTAAGCTATATTTTTATCTCACTGTATTTCCAGAAATATTTACAAGTATTACAAAATAAGAGAATATGAAAAAAAATTGCATGAATTTAATCAAATTCAAAAAATTCCAACATTTGGGCTAGGGTTGTAGCTCAGTGGTAGAGCACTTGTCTAGCACGTGAGAGGCACTGGGTTCAATACTCCGCACCACATAAAAATAAATAAATAAAAGAAAGGTCCATTGACAACTAAAAATATATTAAAAAAATAATTTCAACATTTACCTTGACCTCCAGGATACATACACCTGAAAGCTCTTCCAAGTTCTTCAGCCTGGACTCTGCCTGCAGGTGTTAATTCTCCTCCCCATTTCAAAACCAAAAGTAAGGATGGCTCTTCCCTTCGGCTATCTAAGATGCATGTGAACAAATAAAACAAATGTTAGGTTTGAACAGAAATGGGCCAATGTTAATTTAGTTGACTTAGTCCATATGTAATTATTTTATTCTCTAAATGGGCCTATCTTTGTAGGTTGTTGCTTCCATCAGGAATTCCATTGCTCTTCCTATTAAAATTTTACTGAAATATTAAAATCTCTTTCATACTCAGTAAGAAGGCTTCTAACTTTCTTCAGAGAAGTACTGCTTCTCCCTTCTCTATTTTCATACTGATCTGTCCAATGTATTTAATTCAGTCATGCTATATCTGCTAGATTATAAGCTCCTAAATGCCAAAGTCCAGAAGTTATCTATCAAGTGCCTTCTGCTCAGCTGTCACATAAAATGAAATATTTTACCTGAAGTGAAGAAAATATGTATGTTTTTATGATGAGGAATCAGTGATTTCCATAATTTTTAGGAAGATGTGAGATGACATCCTAACACTTATTCTAGTTAAAATTTCATGCAATCTAATTTTATACAAACACTGAAAATGTAGCCAATTAAAAAAAAAAAATTAGAATTGTGGAATCTCTTTAAGTTCGCAGTAGAAGTTTTGTTCTCAGACATAGGTCAATGATTTAATTTTGACCTGTTCTTTATTATGGCCTTAAGATTTGTTTGTATTGAATTTTAGAAACAAAAGGATTCAAAAATAAATATTATAAACGTTAAAGAATGAATAATAATTCATTGAAAGTAACAGAAAATCATCCTTTCCCCTGCTGCTTGTTAGCAATTATATGTGCTTTACCATGCAGGTGGACAATTTACGGAAGAACAGTGAACTAAAGTTTTTATTATATTTGTTATAGAAAGCTTCCAATCATAAACATTGGGAATTAATCTGTATTGCTTTTAATTACAAAGTATGACATAAGGGTAAAATGTCAAACGTTAAAATAAACACATAAAGTTTAATGTATTCAAATTTGTTTTTGCATTTAATATAATCATGACTTCAATTTTGCTACTATAAATAATGCCAATGTGAATATCCCTACAGATCAATCTTTCTCTGAATATCCAATTACTTTCTTGGGATAGATTTTTTTTTTTTTTTGGTACAGAGGAACTCAGAGGCATTCGACCACTGAGGCACATCTCCAACACTGTTTCTTATTTTATTTAGAGACAGGGTCTCACTGAGTTGCTTAGCAAGCGAGCACTTCACTTTTCCTGAGGCTGGCTTTGAACTCTAGATCCTCTTGCCTCAACCTCCCAAGCCACTGGGATTATAGGAGTGTACCACCATGCCTGGCCTTGGGATAGACTCTTACAAGCAGAATTAAAGTCAAAGCAAAGGAACTTTATGCTGTACTATATACAATATATGTATATTTCAATAAAGTGGAAAAAATAAACTTAAAATATTATTAAATTTATTATTAACAGAAAAGTATAGAAATATTTTTTGAAGATTTGATTGGCAAATCACTTTTCAAGAAGTTGTATCAATTTATAATTCTACCACCACACTAAAATCCTGTCACAATTTATTCATCAGCACTTTATTACCAGTTTAAAAAAGGAGAGAAAACACTTTGCTACTATGATAGGCAAGATTGATTATTACAAGGTTAAGCAGGTTGATTGTCATTAATCTGAAAATCTGAAATCCAAAATTGGCACTTTTTGATTTCCCACATGATGCTACAAGTGGAAAATTCCACACCATGAAACTCTCAGATATAAAATTATTAAAAATATTGTATAAAAGTACCTTCTAGCTACACATAAGGGGTGTGTATGTGTGACGTATATATGAAACATAAATAAATTTCATGTTTAAAGTTGAGTTCCATTCCTAAGATATCTCACCATGTACATACAAATATTATAAATTGGAAAAAATTCAAAATTTTAAATACTTCTATCTCAAGATTTTCATATAAGGAATACTTAACCTGTATAATTAATTTAGTGGTTGAGATTATAGGCATGTACCACCACACTCAGATTTTGAAAGGTAAATGAATTTTTGGACCTTTGTGCTAAGTGTTTCTAGGATACCAACCTTATTTAAATGCTTACTGATGTTTATTGGATGGAGAAAAATATCAATTTACTGTAGAAATACATTGTGTATATTTTCAAATATTCATTTCATACTTTGGGGGCAGGTTACAGGGATTAAACTCAGGGACACTTGATCACTGAGCATGTCACATCCCTAGCCTTATTTTGTATTATTTTTTTTTCAAATATTTTTTAGTTATCAATGGACCTTTATTTTATCTGTATGTGGTGCTGAGAATAGAACCCAGTGCCTCACACATGCTAGGTAAGCACTCTACCACTGAGTCACAACCCTAGCCCTATTTTGTATTATTGTATTTAGAGACAGTGTCTCATTGAGTTGCTTAGCTTCTCACTTTTGCTGAGGCTGGCTTTGAACTCACAATTCTATTGCCTCAATTTCCAGAGCTGCTGGCATTACAGGTGTGTACCACTGCACCCAGTTCGTTTCATACATTTTTAGCTTTGTTTTAAATACTCTACTCATTTCTATCAAAAAAAAGTAAGAATGGGGCTGATTAAATATCACTTAGTTATAAAGAAATAACTTTCTGAAACAATCTCAGAAAAAAGAAAAGTCATAAGCAGTTTCAAAATAATAAAATATATCCATACAATAAATGGTTAAACAATAAAAAGTATCCTTTACCTAAAGGATAGAGTCACTATTAACAAAACACCATTTTATTTTTCTTTTAGTTAACCTGCCAATCTCTAAACTATTAAGCAAAAAATGGTCTAAATGTAATGAATGAATTAAGTGACTACAAATATTTATAACATAATAGGCATTAAAAATGCATACCTTCCTCTTCGCTAGATGTTTTAGGACAACCATGAGGGAGATAGGTTAATTGGACCTTACGATTTATTCCAGAAAAATGACCATACCTGAAAAATAAAATGGTAAGCAGGATGGACAATATTCATGAATTGTTAATGTGATTCCTAAAGAAAAACTAAAATCTATGTAGAGAAAAATTAATTCTCAGATAGGAATACTCCCTTCTATTTGTAATTGCTTTGTTGAATTCTTTAACATATCCAGCAGAAAATTTGTACCATAGTCATTCAATTCCATTGAAAACAAAAAAATATAAGTTTTTACAAAGTTAAGACAATTTGAAAGAGATGATAAAGTATAGAAATATGTACAAATATAAATGTATGTATTTTTAAATAACAATGGATATAAGATTATAAGTGGTGAAATATATAAAGCCTCTATTAGGAATATTAGTGGGCCTCATTTTTAGTTGATAAAAACATAGCTTAAAACTTTTTTATTTAAACAGCCCTGAATCTGGGGTCAAGTTAGTAATATGCCTTCATTCTAAAGAGTACTTCACAGAAGACACAAATTTGATGTCCTCTTTGAATCGTATTAAAGTTAAAAATAAAGCTAAAATAATAATTTTCAATAATACAACAATCAATTTGTATTATATTAAATTTTTACTTATGCTTGGCTGGCATGTGTCTGAGTCCATGGGTTCAAACCCTATAACTACACACAACACAAAAAAGACAGAGAACTAAAGTAAGTATACAACTAGGAGTTACAAAAAGATACTCACATCTCCAATACAGTCTTAAGTTGTTCAAGCTTTGATTTGTTTTCCTCAATTTCAGAATCATTATTTTGCCCTAGCTCCATAAGAAGTTGTCGTGCAATATCCAGCACTTCCTATAAAATAAGTTAATAAGGAAAAGAATTTTTATGTAATTTCACCATTAAAAAAAAAAAAAAAAACTTAACCATTAAAAATTAAAAACTCGGGGCTGGGGTTGTGGCTCAGTGGTAGAGCGCTCCCCTAGCACATGCGAGGTGCTGGGTTCTATCCTCAGCACCACATAAAAATAAATAAACAAAATAAAGGTATTGTGTCCAACTACAACTAAAAAAAAAATATTAAAGAAAAAAAATTTAAAACTCAACAAGAAAGCAAAAACACTTACCTGTAATTGTTTTGGCTTTTTGAGTTTTAACTTCCCCGACTTATATCCATCACACTTTTCAAAAAGATCAAAAAATCTTATAAAAAAGAGAGCACTGTTAGTCACTTGCAATAATTGATATTACCACAGTATATTTAATCTAACAAAGCAATAGATATGGGGCTAGAACTCAAAAACCTATGGATTTTCAGTACTATTTGTCCTATTTCCGATGTTGCTCCTCTACTATTTTTTTTTCTTCCTCCCAAAGACAGGCCTCACTATGCTTCTCAAGCAGGTCTCAAGTGGTCATCTTGTCTCAGCCTCCTGAGTATCTGGGACTATAGTAGTGTTCTAGTACACTTAGCTTTCTTTGCTGTACCTGTATTTATAAATTTAATACTTTCCTAAACTATACTAAACTAATGGTCACGATATTACTTTTAAAAGTTTTCTCATGATCAAAACTGAATACACAATTATAATGCAAAATATTATTGTATTCTCTAAGGTCAGTATGTAAATACATATTTGATAGTTAAGTTTTTCAGGTTTTGGTTTTGCAGTCTCCAAATCAAACACTGAACAGAATAGAAGCTTTCCACTAATTTTCTTCTAAAAAACTGAAAGGTTAATAATTCTCAAAATGCAGTGCAACAGAATGATAAACCAAAATTAAATAGAACCCATTTATGTCAATAAATAAAAGCCAGGTCAGACTGATATTTATGTGCATTACCATAATAATGTTTAGGTGCTGGCATTTACATTACTTTAAATGAACTTACATGCATTCAGTGGTTTAAATATTTATGAACAAGAAATAGTAGTCAAACATTTTCCTATATGATGTATTAATTAAAAGAGCTTAACATTCATCAGAAATCTTAAAATTATATCATGAGTACTAAATATTCTTCTTGAAACATACTTTTGATGCCTCACTTCCATTTTCATTTTTTGTTTTGGGGTTCGATCCCCATGACGTATGACAGCTATGACACATCTAAGTTCCATCCTAAAGGAAAAAAAAAAGTTCTTAATACTCTAACAAAGATTTGTGTACCATAACTCAGATTAATAAAACATCCAATCATTTATTAAAGGCCATCTTTCACCATTTTAAGATCTTTCCCATGAAGAGTAGTACTTGTAACAATTTTATGTCTTTAACAATTTAGTCTTAATTTTATGAAGTTAAATCCTAAAAGGAATTTAAAAAGTTGGAGGAGGGAGTGATATTATGATATATAATATAATACTTCCTCTTCTCAAAAGAGAACCATGTTAACTCTGGACACAAGTAAATGTACTCTGATTCCTGAACTTTATAAAATATCTGCCTGGTAGTATTAGACTGAGTTCATCAAATAAAAATAAAGTTTTATCTAATAGCAAAGGAAACAGTCACTACATTTATAAATTTGCTATCTTTTGCTCAGGTAATAGGAATAGTATTTAAAACTCAAATTAATGGAAGATAAAAGTAGTAAAGAAGCATTTTAGAGTTAAGAGGTATAATTTAGTATTAGCCAAAGTATGAGGTCTTGAACATAACTTGCAGGATATTAATACAATTATCTGAGAAAATTTTGTGTTAAATAAGTTTAGAGAATACTGGTTTAAAAACAAAAGTAAATACAGTTTCTACAAATCAGAATGTCCAAAACTATTTAACATACTAATATAAATCTTTCTAAGCTGTGAATGTGAAGCATTCAGTCAACTCACCTGACTTTTCAATGAGTCATTTTCCTCAGCAGATGTTAATAAAACATTCTGGCAATATTGGTCTAATGAATTTATCTCAACCTGTAACTTAAGCTAGCCACATAATGATGACTGAACTTTTGAGAAATGTATCTATTTTAACCACTTCTATTATTATGACTTGATTATGTAGTTCTGTAATTATCAAAGCCTATTGCAGGATTTTATATCTAACAACAATATAAGAGAATTTATTCCTCCCATCTTCACACCAAATCTAACAAAAACATACAAAGTATCTAAAAATATTTTTTTTATTATAATAGCACAGTCTAATAGAGAAAACTCAAGGAATTTCTAAATGAAAATAATTCAAACTTACATAGTTCCAGATGTAGTTGGTACAATTGGAATATCTTCAGCTTCCAATGGTATTGACCAGGGGATATGAAATTGTGGAGCAAGCTCTCTCATTACAATATTTCTTCAAATGAAAAGAAAATAATTATTATTTCATTTAAAGATAAAATTAGATACTAAATGAGAATGGTAGCGAATCACAGGAGTTAAAGTCATCTGAAAAATTTAAAATACAAATCAATATTAGATTTGAATAAATCAGTATAACTATATTATTTCTAATTATACACACTCTGAAATTCAAAACTGTCTCTTGGACTAGGTGACCACTGATCATTCCTTATGCATTTAATGAACATTTATAAACCTATTCTAAATGCCATGCTCATTTTCCACAAATTATTATTATACTTTACTAATAGGGTTAACAATAAAGAGGTGTTTAATTTTGTTTAAATTTAATATTCATTCATGAAAAATTTAGATAACTCTTCTCAATTTCACTTTAAGCATAACTTCAACAATCTTCAAAACATACTATAAAATATGAGTCCAATTATCAAACATTTTGAAGTATTAAGTTTTCTGTGGCTTTGTCAGATATGCTTCAGAATGTTAAAAAGGGGCTGCAGTTGTAGCTCAGTAGTAAGATGTTTGCCTAGCATGTGTGGGGCACGGGATTTGATTGTCAGCAAACATTAAATAAATAAACAGACAAATAAATAAAATCAAGGTATTAAAAATGTCAAAAATAGTTCTTGTCTTGCTAAGTCTTCCTAATCAAGTTACAAGGAAAATGAATCAAAGAATATAAAACTGACATTTCTACCTGCAATAATTTTATATATTCACTTGATAATATTATGAGAATATCTTTAACATATACTTGCATAAAGAAATGTCACCCATAGAATCCTGAATTCCAAAAATTTCTATCTTACTTATTTCATGAATGTTAATTTTGCACTATTAAATAAGAGAACAAAGTTTGTTTTGTTTTTTGTTTTTTTTTTTGAGCAAGCAAAGCAGTTTATTAAACAAAAATGCAAACAGCCAGCAAAATAATAACAATGTGCTCCTATTTTTCTCAGCAGCTCGGGAGGCTGAGACAGGAGGATTGTGAATTCAAAGCCAGAAATAGGGTTGTTTCCTCTGATTCCTGTTCTGCTGTCACCAATTTCCCTTCTTGTGGGGAACAAGTGGGCAAGGGCTTCTTCTATGGGAGTCTTCTCTCTTACAGGGATCTTTCCCCTTTTCTCCTCTCCCCTCCCCTCCCTTTCCTTTTCCTTTCTCCCCTTTTCTTTTCCACAAGAACCAGAATAATCTGCTGAAGTCTCTGACACTTGGCCTCCCTGACCTTCATGCAACCTGTCTGATTCTATATTTCTAAACAATTTACTTTAGACAAAACTCATATTTTTCACACTTCTAAGGTCAATGTAATTTTTTAAAAAGCTTAATTTCAACTACAATTACACAGCAAAAACTCGAGGAATATTTTAATCACCATGTTATAGCATTTCTAACTCTATGAAGTTAACATCTTTAGGCCTTTGTACTGATTATAAATTAATCTGTCTTTGATAATCTCACCTATAATTCAGAATCTGGTACAGTCTCTGGAGGTGCCATTTTATGAACTGATTTTTTACTCTACAATACTTAAAAAAAAAACTTCATCCTTCAATGTTACCAATTATTTTGTTTCTGAATAACTAGTATGCAAAGTAAAGAGAAGAAAATAGATTATTAAATTCTTACCCAAGTATTTTTGCACAATCATCATAATACTTCATGGAATTTTTCACAAAACTGAAGCCATTGACATCACACACATAGGACTGTCCATTGGCTCGTAACAAATCAAAGCCACAAACTGTTTGCTATTTAAAATAAGTTATAAACTTTAAATTATTATGATTCAGTTTTCTAGTCTTATTAGAACATATATTTTATGTCTAAAAGTATATTATTATATATTGTTTCAATTCATGTTAAGTAAGGGAAAGAAATTACTTATTTGTAATTTGAATATTCTAAAGATATATTACATATTCCATATGATTACTTAAATTCCTTATCATAAAACAGACATAAAGTATAAAGGATTACAGTGGCCAAAACAGAACACTGCATCAAAACAATCTCCAACTAAAATTTCAATTTTCGAAAAGCAAATATTTTGAAAATTCAGATAAAATTTTACACTAGCAGAAATTTAGGTCATTTAAGTCCCAACACAATAAAGGAAAAATAGTATTAAAGACCTATCCCAGAAGAAATGTTCAATTATTCCTGTAAATCTGTTAATCTCCTCATAATCACATATTTGTGAGCACCTAAAATAAATTTGGAAGAAAATTGCTGAAAGTTATAAATTTGTTACTCTGTGAAAATTTTCTTCCACATTTTTTATGCAAATACTCATGCACTACTATAATGTAATTTGAATTCATAGCTTTTGGGATCCTTGTATAATAAGACAATTTACATAAATCTATTAAAACTTACTTACAATCTAACATTTCTTCCACAAAAGAGACATTATGGTTAACACACAAAGTATTTATTATTTAATAACCAGTAATATCTATTAGTCTTTAAGTTATGTATCCAATGTAAGATTTCAAAAAGGTAAAATTTATTATTTATTAAATGTCAGTTGTACTACTTCTATTTAAACTTTTATACAAGTTAGGTAAAAATTCTGTTAATATAGATTAAGGGAATTAATCAAATATTAGAAGTAAAATGTTTTAAGAAATTTTTTTACAGTGCTTTCATGAACATATTCTATTATACAGTAGTCCAAAAGAATTGACTGCCAAGGCTACAATACTAAGGACAATTTACCAGTTCTATGAAAGTAAATAATACTTATAATTAGTTTCTTAAAAACAGATTAGACAATACCCCTAAACACTGTTTAACTGAACTAATCTCTGCAATTTTAAAGTCAGAAAAAATTCATACAGTTTCTTTTTATATAACACAGAAAGAACATATTGGTACTACAAGAATACAATATATTAGCACTATAAAAATCCGCTTGCAAAATACATGAACAGTTCTCAGCTTATTACTCTAATTATATATCCAAATAATGTCTCTTAATCAAGAATAAGAATTAGAATTTTTTTTTACAAAGGTCTACATGGCTTGTCTTAACATCTTACCTTAAAAGCAAGGCAGACTTTCCAAGCAATTAATTTCTCTCGTGCATTGAGAATAACAGGGTATCTTACTTCTTTTCCTTCACTATCTCGTTCCACCTTGCCATCAAGTGCTGGAGATTTTCGGGCTTCAGCATGAGCATAATCTGGACCAACTGTGTAAACCTTTGACGAATATTAAACACATATATACACACACACACATACACAAACACTCGTAAAACCAATAAAAAATAAATTCAAAGAAAAAAGTAACAAAAAATGGTTCAGACTCTGTATTATTATAAGACATACTTTTCTATTTTACATCTCAAATTTTCATTGGAAAAGGTTATAAATACTTATATGGCAACACTGGTAAAGCAAGAATTCATTCTGTATAGGAAACTATTAAACTGAGCATTAACTCTTCAAAATGTTTTAGTTTAACAAAAAAGAGATTAAAAAAAACTATAAAACATCATGGAAGGAAAAAAATTGCCAAAATAGAAGTTTTTAAAAGGTGGAGAATGAATCAGAACAAGAGAAGGAAAGGCATTCTAAGCAGAGGTAAATGGACACAAAGGACAGACATATGAAACAGCAGGATGCATATAAATATGGAAAAGTTATTTGATGCAGTTTATGCTTTAAGAAATAAAATTAGTAAGACAGAGGACAGACTATGATATTATCTGTATCATGATCAAATTTATACTTTAAAAGGAACATTGTGGTTACAGAAAGGGTAGTTGAAAGTTGACATATTAAGATCTCATTTGTTACCAGTTAAAATTTTATTTATTTATTTATTTATTTATTTATTCTATGTCACCAAGGATTGAATCCAGGGGTGTTTAACCACTGAGTTACATACCCAGCCCTTTTAAAAATATGTTATTTAGAGACAGCACCTCACTGAGTTGCTTAGTGCCTCACTAAATTGCTGAGGTTGGTTTTGAACTTGTGATCCTCCTGCCTCAGCTTCCTGAGCCACTGAGCTTATAGGTGTACATCAATGTGCCCATATGGATATTCTTAAATCACATAATAATTGTCACAGATCTCAAAATCTGGGTAAAGTGTACTGCTTAGAAATGTGGAGGCTATTAGACTCACCTAATATTTTATTATTTAAAGTCCCTTTAAAGAATCACACAATTATTATATTAAAAAGTTGATTTTTAAATATTTTAGTAACTACACTTAGATAAAATATCTTTCTTCGTAATCCTGTGTGTTTTATTTTAAGCACTTAAGTTCACTATGTTTAAAAAAAGGATTCATAGGCTTCTAACTGCCAAAGGTATTCATGGAACAAAATGGCTTGAGCATCCTTAATTAAAAAGAAAGAGATAAAGAATAGAAGTTAGATTAGTGAAGGGTGTTTCCTTCTTCGATTACTGGTAAAATCAAAATACAAAATTACATCTACATGGTCTCTTACGATTCGTACTTGTGATTTTTCAATTTGACTTAAAATGGTGTAAAAGTGATAGACATTCAGTAGAAGTCATAATTTGAATTTTGATCTTTTCCTGGGCCAGTGATGCGTACTATGATATTCTCTTAGGATGCTAGGCAATGGCAATGAGTCACATAGCTCTTAATGAGTCACACAATTATGTTAACAACTCACCCTATACACCATGTTGCTAATCTTTGATTTTCAGTAGATTGATTAAATGCATTTTCAATGTAGATCATTTTCAATTTCTGAAGGGTTTATTGGGATGTGACCCCATTCTTAAATGGAGGAGCATCTGTACTTTAATTTATCCTACCTTAACATCAGTATCACCTTGAATACAAAATCAAAATATAGTTCAGTCAGTCTTACCTTAACATCAGTACCATCTGTGGGCATAAACTCTTCATATATATATGAACCTGTTTTTCGTACATTGCTTTCAGGGGAGTATACACTACTTCTACTGCCAATCTGAAAGTAAAAATTGTCCATCAATATAAAAACCACATTATTTTACAACTATAATGCACCAATAAAAAATGTGGAAAATCACATTATTTCCCTCATTTTATAATATAACCTTTGTTTCACCTTAGAAATTGTTCCATCTTAGAAATTTTCAAATAATTATTTAATCCATGAATATTTAACAAGGTTTATTATGTATTTGGCACTATATTATACTGTCTCTAACTTATGTGTAAGTTGAAGAGCATAAAAATAAAATGATCGGTTGTATTTCTTCTTCTGTAAAGTATCTATTCAGTTCAAAATTTAAAAACATAAAATAAAATGAACATTAAGAATTAAATCTTTTTTAAAAAACATTTTTTTAGTTGTAGATGAACACATATCTTTGTTTATTTATTTTTATGTGGTGTTGAGGATCAAACCAAGTGCCCAAGAATTATATTTCTAAGGTTCATTCATGTTGCTACATGTTACTCAAGTTTGTTCATGTATACTACTATAAATTTTCTACTGTGTAAATAAACCAGAATTCATCCATTCTCCTACCAGTGTATATTTAGGATATTTTCCAAGCTTTGGTTACTACAACAATTTTGCTTTGAACATTCTTGTGTCACCATGATATATGTTCATTTGTGTTTCTAAGGATTGCTAGATGGCACATATTCAACTTACAAATATATTGCCAAAACCTTTTAGAAACTATTTTAAGAATTTAGTCTCACCAGCAAATGTACAAGAGTTCCAGCTGTTCTTAGTATTATCAGATTCTTTAACACTTGCCACTCTAATGGCTATTTATTAAAATGGCATCTCATTGTATTTTTATTTGCATTTCCATGATTGTTTGTAAGTGTATTTCTAATTCTGATGTGCTGCTAAATTACACTGCTAAGAGGCGGCATTCCTGCTTATGATGTATAGGCTTGTGCTTGTTTTCCACATACATAAGTGTTTAATCTTTGACAAACCAAAAAAGTTAATATGATATAATTATATTTCAGACTTGTTTTGCATTCTTTTATTATGGGTATGATTAAGCATATCTTCATGTATATAAAAGTTATTAATATAACTTTTTCTATAAACTGTTTACTTTTCTGGGTCAGTTTTCTAAAAGACTGGTTTAACTGAATTTTAGTCTGACAGAAACATGAATAAGAGGTTGAACACAAATTAAGTACTTTTTCAGTATTCTGTAGGTAGGCATTTTGCCAAACAGCATTAAATATTGACAATGACACCATGTTTTTCTAACAGTATGATATCAGTTTTATGAATTTACTTCTAAATAATACATTTTCAAGAATTCAAGATAAAATTATAGTTTTATTAAATGCTTGATTACTTTTTTAAAAGGTATATTACTATTAAAATTTATTCAAAAAATGAAGAACATTACTCATATAAAGGTTACAAAAGTTTACCTTTCTAAAGAGTCTTTGACTTCCACCTCCAGCAGATGTTGGATAATAAATGTAAACATTGTGATCTTCTGCACTGACTGGTTTTTCTACAAATGGCTTTTGGAAAACTTCTCCATTTACTTCTACATGGTCTTCCCCTTCAATCAGATTGCATTCTATAAATCAAACATAATTAGAAAAAAAATTACTTTTTTCATTATAATAGAAGGCTTAAAAAAAACAAACAACAGAATGCATTGTTCTAATCTGCAGCAAAACTGTATAAGCCTTATCAGCAAACTTGAATTTATCTTGCTTTAATGACATTCAGAAGAAAACAAAAAATTTGCACCAAGAATGCTCAATCCTAACAGCATGTTTAAATCACCCACTCTTAAAAAAAAACCACTCATGTAGAATCTCATACAGATATGTGGGGTCTAGTACAGATATATTTTTAAAAACCTCTTCTTGGATTCCCAGCTAAGAGTAAAATCTGTTCTTTTCAAAATTCTCCAAACTAATGCCACAGCACATCAATCTTCACCTTTAGGACATTTCTCCTTGCACAGGTACTGTAGAAAGTAGGGCCTCTGAATTTTAAGATGGTGCATTTCAATGTGGTAATTTCCTTCTTCATATATATCTTCTATACCCTGTCTCACTGTCTATCCATGCTTATCCTAAGAAAATTTAAAAATCAATGCTCTACCATTGACAATTAATTTGGTAATTATAAAAATTATGTCACTTTGTCATTTTTCTTTTGTAATAATGGTTTTTCTATGAAAGAAAACCTGTTCTAGTATACTGGGAACAGATTCTACAAAGGTCTGGAAACAATACTGTATAAAAATCTTGATCACATTGGATGATTTCATAAAAACAGAAGAAGTATAGAAGCAAATGCCTGGAACAGAACCAGTAGGGAAGTAGGTTAGCATGATAAATTGGAGCATTCCATCAACATTTACTTAACATATGATCATTAACTATGAACATTAATGTGATTTAAGTGTTTATTCAAGAGTACAAATTTTTAAACTCCTAAAGAGGTAGCTTTTAACTTGATAGACAAATTCTAGTTCTCAAGGATGAATATTTGGGATTTTTTGTTTTGTTCTTATAGTGTACTGAGGATTGAACTTGGGGTGCTTAAGCAGTAAGCTATCTCCCTAATCCCTTTCATAATTTTTTATTTTGAGACAGCGTCTCAATAAGTTGTTGAAGCTGGCCCCAACCTGTGATCTTCCTGACTCAAAATCTAGAACTATAGATATTACAGACATGCACCCAGCTTATGAATAGTTAGTTCTTTTCTTTATTTTAATTACACTATTTTTTAACTTAGATATCATGCTATGATTGAGGACTTCTTTTTTCTAAACTAGAAATAATAAAGAAAACAAAACTTGGATAATGTATTTACTTGATTTTAATTAGATATATTTATGTAAACAACATATATCAACATTTATGATACATATGAAACTAAGAACTATACTTGTTCCTCAGATTCTATGGACTTGCCATTTTATATTACCATGTCAGAGACTTCAAAGTTAAGTATGAAATGATGCCATAAAGAGAGATTGAGGACTAATTCCAGAACAGCACTACCATTCTCTGGAAAATGTATAGGATCATTCATATCATAAATAATGTAAAACATGACATTATTTAACTTAGGAAAGTAATTTTTCTGAAAGTTTCTTTCAGATACAATAATTAATCAAAATTTCCCAAAATAATGTTACCATATTAACTTTCAAGACAAACATTTATGTTGCCCTTTATTTTTTATTTTATCAAATCCAAAGCCTCTTTATTAACAGTAAGATCCGAGGTTGGTTTTTGTAGCCACATCTGGCCCTCCGGCCTCTGGCGCGCTCGAATATCCTGCCCTTGGAGCGGACGTAGGGTTTGGTGTGGTTGTGTGGGGTCCCAGGAGCCTTGCCAAAATGCTGGTACACTTCTTGGACCTTGCCAGGGCCAGAGAGCAGGACTGTGCCACGGCCCTTAGGGGAGCCCAGGACCAGTTGGTCAAAAGTGAGGATCTTGCCCCCAGCCTTGAGGATGTGGCTGTGGGCTCGGCTGCTGAAGCGCAGTACGCACACCTTTAGTTTGGGCACCTCCTGAACACGCACGTCATGTGTTATGGTCCCCACGACCACAGCTGTTTTGTTTTCTCTGCTCAGAAGCTTTATCTTCTGGATCATCCAGGAAAGGGAGAGAGGTACCCTATTGGCACGACTCATGAACAACATCTTCAGTACAACTTGGTTGAAGGTACAACTGGTTCGTCTAGCTAGAAAGCTGTACAACTTGACCAACAGCCTTAGGTAGATGTCCTGCCTCTTGGGCTCCTTGTGCTAAACCTTTTGGTCCTTATTGTGGCGTATGTCGACTTCCATGATGGCGCTTACAGCTCAGCCTAGTCCGGAAAGCTATCTTGCCCTTTAGATTGAGTTACATAAAACTTACATGTCATATAGTAGATAACCAGAAAAAAAAGGAGTCAAGGCTACTTTAAAATATTAATAGTATTATTTCAAAATATGTAGCATCAGGTATTTAATTATGACACTATAGCATGAAGTTTCTAAGTCAGAAATGAGTCACCTGCTTTTCCATAATCAATACAAATTCAATAACCAGGTAATTTCAAAACTTACTTTATGATTCTGAAAGATATGTCAAATGCATACCAAAGAAAAGTAGAAGAGATAACTTCTAAATTATCAGTTAACCTTTTAGCACAATATCACATTTTAACTGAATATAATACATGATTATTTATTTAAATCATTAAGGAAAACTGTTAAACAGAATACTAAGAATTGTTTAAATTCCTTTTAGTTAAGTAGAGTGGCCTAAGTATTTCAAGTGACAGAAGGTAACATACTTAAAATCTTTTATTCTTACCTTTGGGATTATTTGGATCACGGTTCAAAATTGCATAACGAGGAAGTAAAATACCTTCTGCTTGAAGAATACTATATACTTCTCTCCTAAAGAAAAAGAAAAACATCCTTACTCTCTTGCTGCTGTATTTTGCAATGAATATAACACTGTACTTATTGTTATATGTTATTGTGTTGTACTACTAAAAAGGGTATGTATATCAAGTTTTAAAACTTTTTAAAAATATAGATTTAAAAATAAATCTAAATCATTTCAAGTATTTAAAAATACTTGAAATATTCAGCAAGGAATATTCAGCAATGAGAACAAAAGTTTATGCATACTACTTCTTCTAGCATATTATTATTAAATCAAGAGAGTAAATGAATGAATGTTTGTTAAAGTTGATAACATCACAATGAAATAATCTGGCCATTAAAAACATGTTTAAATAACATTTAATGACATGGGAAAATGTTCACTGTATTCTCAGAGAAATGTAATTCTCGTTTTCTAAAATGCAAGCATGTATGTGTATATATATTGCTCTCTATATGAAAAATATAGTAAATATAGTGACAGAACTAAATGGTTATTTTATGCTTTTATTTCTCAAACTTGTTAAAATATATATGCATTTTTATATATGTATATAACTTATATATGAACATATACTATAATATAGGCCCTAGAAAATGTTTTAAATGTTTAGATAATAACAACTCTACATTCTGGGAGAGCAGGAAAAAAAAGAACCCAAACCAAAAATCATAAAAGTATTTCCACATATATGATATTACAATAGTAACAAAAAACAGAACGGAGATATTAAAAGAGTATTTACTAGAGTAAGAAACACATAGATATAGCTGGGATTGTGGCCCAGTGGTAGAGTGCTTGCCTACCACGTGCAAGGCACTAGGTTCGATCCTTAGCACTACATAAAAATAAATAAATAAAATAAAATACATAAGTACACTCATATTTTATAATTTCATTTATAAATCTATACTTTTGGCCTTTAATAAATGCTAACATACATAGAGAAATATTTTTAAATATATATATTGTATCATTAAAAAACATCTAGTTATAAGTTATTTCCTAATTTAACTATCAGTCAAATGAAAGAAAAATTACTTGTAATTATTCATGGTTTTAGTAGGCTTTGGAAATTAAACAAATGTGGTTTAACTTCTTGTCCTACTACTGGGTACTACTTATGACTCTGGGCAAATTAATTGATCTGATTCTCATGTTTCCTCTCTGTAAAATTCGTTAATAAACACCTATTTATGAATAATACTTTTTAAGGATGCTATGAAATAAGTATGTAAAACACTTTATGCTATGTCAGTATATGGTAGGTACTAAATAAATGTTAATTTTTCCTTCCCTTAATTTAGCCAACTTCACCACTCACCTATCTTGTATGAGATACTGCATATTCAAGTCATTGATTACAAATGGATTCCTGAGTTTTGCATAGGCAACTGCTTTGTCCAGTGGAAATCCTAAGAACACATATCATTAACATACTCTAAACAATTTCAAGATAAGTTGACATCTATAACTTTATCAACTTGAATTGATGCTCCCATAAAATAATGATTCATTATGTTCATAACTGACTTCTATAAAAGGTATAATATATAAAGAAATTTTAGTTAAGCTTTTACTATTAAATCTCATTTTTTTCCTAGTTAATGCTATCAATAAGGCATACTACATCAGTGGCTATAAAAACAAATTAAAGCAGAGACATGTTAGTCAGTGCCTGACTATATACAAAGTCATCCAACAGAAAGTAAAATTACTTCACATACAAAAAGATTTCTATATATAAATAAGTGAACCATGACTACCTTATAATTTTTAAGAATATACTGTGTATACAATTCTTTTCACTAAATATTTTGATGCTTATATTCTCAAATTAGCTGATAGTCAAAGAATTTACGTACCATTAAAAATAATAGCAAAAGCAAAACTAATTCACACATAACACATATACTCAAAATATAAAAGAAGAATCATGCTATTGCTAAGCTGGTGCTAAAATATAAGAAATTACTTCCCTAAAATTTCTAGACACTAGTAAAATTACTAATTTTTACAATAAAAATGAATCAAATGGCAGATATGGTAAGAAAAGTCATTAAACTATCTAAAAAAATTTAATGATTTTATTTTACTTCCTATATTGACACTAAAAGTCTCTCCAATTATAGTGGTGCACAGCTGTAGTCCCAGCACTCTGAAGGCTGTACCAAGAGTATCCCTTGAACCCAGCATATCAAGATTAATCTGGGTAGCATAATTAGACCCCATTAAAAAAAGGAAACACACACACACACACACACTAGACTCTAGGGGTTCAGAGCATAAACCGCTGTTCAAACCTGGCACACCTTTCACTATGTAACCTTGGGAAAATTTATTTAACATCTTTAAATATATTATTCCAGCTATAAATGAGAATTTTGTAAGTCTTACCCTAGTAGAATTTGTGAGGAATGAAATAAGAGTACATCTAAAACACTTAGCACAATACCTGGCATAGTGAGTGCTCAATAATATATGCTAACTGTTATTATTCCTTAAGTGACAATATTTTAGTGAATATATTATCTATGGAAAAGGGTGAAAATCAGCAGTATGTACAATTTTAGGATTTAACCACTGAAGGTGAAGTGCATCCATGAAGACTCTATTTTTGCAGCATTACAAAAAAAGTTAGAAAATATTAAGGCATATTGAAATTTAAAAGAACAAAACAAAACAAAAAACTACATTCAGTTAAACAAGATTTATTCCTAAATTCCCCTTAGTTTTTGAAATTTAAATGTAAAAACTCTATACCAAAAATCACTTGGCCCCAAATTATATAGCCTTCAAGTATTAGAGACTCTCAGAATTCATCACTTGCAAAAGATTTCTTAATGTCTATGATTTGAAGTGTCCTAACATAATCCAACAAATAGAAAACACCTACAGTCAGTTCTCTACTTTTACTGTCCAAGAAGAACATTTTCCTTATCAAGAGATGTTGTATGGGATATGAACTTAGATGTAACACCTAGTTTTTAGAGGTAAATAGCTTTTACAGGAAGAATCTTATGACTGTATAAGAGAACACCTTACCCTCAAGGATAAACAAATTTTAATGTTCTCTAAGATGAGTGGTCTTGGTGATTTGGTGAGCAAAGATCATGAATGTAGCTCTCCATGAAATAATCAAAATTAATTTACACAATGGGGACACAAAAAACTATGTCCCATTTTCTTCTTGTTGAACTGAGACTTTAAAACAACTCAGGACTGCATATTTTGTCAACAGGTGATGATTAAATATCAACACATTTATAATTGAGAGCACATCTTTTAAATTATACTTCTAGTTCTTAGTTTATTTAATCTGCAGATTTTTAGGCTATGAATTTCAGATCTACACTTGGTAATAATTTTAACTAGTGGATTTTTCTATACAGTAATAATTAAGCTTAACCAATATTTATTCTTAATTAATAAAAAGTAGTGAGATCTAAAATTTCAAATATTAGTTTCTTAAGACATAAAGTATGCATACAAACATGAGGAATGACAGATCATTTTCTATACGGCAAAAACAACTTGCATATTCATACATCAAGAATTTATCCCATTAAATTCAAATGCAAACAAAGATATACATTCAAAGAGATGATCACAACCTCATTTTTAATAGTAAAAATTGGAAATTGTCCACATATTCAGATATTAATTAAATATTTTATGGTACATCTACATAATGATACTATGCCACAGGTTACTGAAGAATGACAGGTGAAAAATATACATTGATACAATAATGCAAAAGTTAAATATAAACTTATACCTAGGATATGACACTAAATTTTTAAAAAATATAGAAAAGACTGAAAGAAATATACTAAAATGTTAATATAACATTGTTGAGAGTGGGTTGGTCTAATATTATTTTGTTTTATTCAATATTCTACAATTATTATGCATTAATTTTATAATCAGAGAAGAAAAAGGGGTGCCCCCTCTTGTTTAATACCTTTAGAATGGAAAGAAATAAGACAATCACATAAAGGCCAGTTTTCCACTGGTTCATTCAAAATAACTTCCTCTTCAAATACTACTACTGTGATATATTTAAATAAGGAGATCCGTTCCAGAATTTCCTTCATTGGTTTGGATTTGGATTTCTTTGCCATGGAACATATTCCAACCACAATCTGCCTTTCTGGTGGCTAAAAGAGAAACAAAACAAAAAATCAGGTTGACTTAATATAAACTCCAAAACATAGCTATTTAATTCTTTTCAGAAGTAAATAAGGCTTGTGATAAATATATAAAAGTGATACATTAATCAAAAAAGGCATTTTAAAAATTATATCATTATTATAACAATAAATACCTTATAAATAATTTTCTATAAAGGTCTGGAAAAAATTTTAAAGATACACATTTTTAGAACATTGATACTATTTTCAATCAAGTTTAAAACTTAAGGAAATAACTTTGCAGTGGTAGAGCACATGCCTAGCACACGTAAAGTACTGGATTCAGTCCTCAGTAGCACAAAAAAATAAATAAAATAAAGGTATTGTGTCCATCTACAACTAATTAAACAAACAAACAAACAAACTCTGCTTTAACTGCCTTTCGTATTTGTTTATCCTCTCCACAGCAGAAAAAAGGGCAAATGTGGGCCCAAACCCATCCAATTCATGTAAAAAGACCAATGGGAATGAAATAAAATATTTTTTCTTGCATGAGTAAGATATGGTTCTACCTTCAAAGCTATATAGTATTCAATTCTTTTTGTGGATTGAGCTTGAATGTGGTCATTAATGACAACTCAAAAGAAAATTTTGGAGAGAACCACACTGCTACCAGAGATGGCAAGAACCTCTGACATTCCAATCTTCACACTCAATATTCCTCCTTAATGATGTTGCTAATATTACCAGTTTTACACCAAATTGTGGCTCAAAGGCCACTATTAGTTCTAATCTAAAAAGGCAGAATACATAAATAATAACAATAGTAACTTCATACATTCATAAAAAGTACTGGAGAGTCACCCTGGGGTCTATGCATCTCAGGGCTTAAGAGTTTCTCAACTATAAAAAGCTATGTCCAGCTTTTCATTTGATTCTACTTTCTTTTCCATGATTTGATATATTTTATAAGACATTATAATCTGTACTCAAAAAAGTGGTTTAGGATATTTTCTCCTCTATGATCCAAAAAGAAAATCAGATAGTATCAGAATTAAGTTGTTCTTTTTGCCTAGAAATATACTTCCATGTTTTCTCTTCTAACCCATGAAATTTAGAGTTCAAACCAGTATTGAATTATAAAACAAAGAGATAATAAATTGTATCCTTCTCGGGATCTGCTATCTTTATTTTCTCTGATCATCCAGTTTTATGTTTCCTTATTCAATTTTTATGCTGATCAAAAGCCTTGGCATAACTCATTATAATGTTCCTAAAGTAGATTCATCAGGATAACCTAACATTTCACATTGTTTTAGTATTTTTTAAAGGTACTAGATTAGGGTTTTTTATTATAGACCTATTAATGAATCTGTTCATTGGCTAAGATGATAAGAAAACATTGACATTAAAAATGTAAACAAATAAAAACTTACAGTCTTAAGACAAAATTTTCCTATTAGGTAAGACCTTTGAAGTACAAACTAATTATAAAACAGATCGGAGTTATTTTGTGTGTTAGCTTTTCATTGCTGAAACAAAATACCTGAGAAAAACAAGTTAGAGGAGCAAATTATTTCAGCTCACAGTTTCAGAAGTTTCAGTCAGCTAGTTCCACTGCTTTGGGCCTGAGGCAAGGCAGAACATAATGGCAGAAAGGCATAGTGGAGAAAAACTGCTCACTTCACAGCAGCTAGGAGGCAGAGAAAAAGAGAGGAAGGGGCAAGGGACAAAATACACCCTTACAGGGCACACCCCCAGTGACCAACTTCTCCCGACTAGGTCCCATTTCCACCACATACCAATAATGACAACAAATTATGAATTCCTCAATGGATTAATTCATTTATCCAATCACTTCCCTAAATTTTCACCTCTGACTATTGTTACACTTGGGACTAAGCCCTCAACATACGAATCTTTGAGGTATGTCTAGACCATAATACTGTGTTAGATTTAATGCCTAACAAAATTGAAGCTCACATTTTTGAAATCTTAAAAGGAGAATGATAGCTCCATATGAAACTATAGGTCAAAAGAACAAGCTCCATGAAAGTGTCAACTGCACATCATGAATACAAGTTCAGTTTATTTAACACCAATATTCCAAGAACTCTACTGTCTAAAGTCTAGTTATATAGAAAGTACTATTCAATACTAAAGTACTTTGAGTCTAATAGGGAATGTTGAGAGCCACAGCCGAAAGGGCCCCAGCAAACTTCCAGCTGCCAGCTGATGATTGGCTCACAGCGGCCCCAACAAACTTCTAGCTGCCAACTGATTGGCTCCTCTGCTGTGATGCTCATTGGGCTGTTTCCCCACCCTTTCAGACCACGGAGCTGCTTATTGGGGGACTTTTTTTTTGCTCCGCCCACACGACCCAGCCAATCGGCCTCAAGAGCAGGAGGAGTGGGGGGAGATTAAGAGGCTTGTGGGAAGCCGGTGGTGGCAGTTGGGCTCTGAAGAGCTGTGTGGTGCGGTGTGTATGTTCTAAAAATAAAGTTTGTTTCTTTTGACAAGTGGCTCCTGAATTGTGCCCAGCCAGACTGCGGCATTTGGTGGCCCATACCGGGACTAAACCCGCGACCTTGGCATTATCAGCACCACAAAAATAATATAGTAACTTGTGACACATTATATGTCAAGATATTAACATAGTACTAAGGAAGAAGTGATCAAATTTGTCATGTGAAAAGAGCATGGAGAATGGAGTGAAAGACACAAAAATCTGAGGAGGGTTTTGAAGAATAAATGTAACTCAAGTACTTCAAAATAAGGGCATTTTAGAGCAACAAAGAAACATATTCAGCAGCAAACACACATGATATGGCATGAAATAAATATATGGAAAAAAATTTTTGAGGGGAACTAGGGATTGAACCTAGAGGTGCTCTACCACTGAACTATATCCTCAGTTCCCCCTTTTTATGTTTTTATTTTGAGACAAGGTCTGTCTCATTTAGGGCCTCACTAAGTTGTTGAGGTTGGCCCAAAAGTTAGGATCCTCCTGCCTCAGCCTCCTGAGCCACTGGGATCACAGGAGTGCGCCATTGTACCCAGTTGGAAGTAAAATTGCGATGTTACTAAAATACAAAAGGTAGGAAGAATGGGAGATAACTACCTATAAATAGAGATGGGAGATAAAATTCCTTACATGTGAGAAGACAGGACTTGTTCTAGCAGTAGTATCCACACTGTTCAGAACTCCAGAGAAAAATAGTAAGGCTAGTTGGGGCCAAGTCAGTAGTGCTTTCTAGTCTAAGTGAACCAGAGAAGTTTTACTTTCAAACTTTACTTCTAGATAAGACTTTAGATGAAGAAAAGTTGTGAATGGCCAGAGAGAAGCTTGATAATCATTATTTTTTTCAAGGGTAGGAAATAGGGAAGATGTTCTGTACTGAGAGTTTTAAAAGAGGAACAGTCCAGTTTGCATTATAGATATGTGTAACTTCACTCAGAAATATGTTGCTATGGAAAAGGCCTTAAAGAACTATTTTTGGTTTTTTTTTTTTTATCACTTTTACCAAGCATAAGAGTTTTCCTTTTAAAATAAAATTATCTTTCCAATTTAACTTAGAAAACTAAGCATGTATTATAAAATGTCTGCATTTTAAATCAGCCCTTAGAATATAGCAATCCATGCACACACACACAAAAAAAATCTATGATGACTAAGGAAAACATTGGAAGAATTTAACTGTAGAAAAACGAACATAATAGATGTTCATCCAGTGTGGGTATAAACATTCTAATATGTCAGAAAGAGAATCAGACACACTTATTTGCAGTGTGTTCACACACTTATGCACATGATGCAGCCTCTCCTTTTAGCCAGTTTGTAGATTTTTGATTAGCTAATAAATAGTGATATCTTCAGTTCAACCAGCACTTCCATTTACAAACTGATAAACAAAGAATTTGGGTAAGCAGTTTTCTTCTTTAGTACCTTTAAAATTATTTCCTTCTACCTCTTAATCTTGATGTATTTGTTATGTATTTCAAATACAAGAAATAATTCTAATGCATGGCCCAGATTTCTATTTCTCTTAGCCATTTTTTTTCTGCAAAGCCCCAAGTTACATGATGTATATTACTGAAAGAAACTAAAATAAGCATCACTAAATAACTTAGAAATCTGAACCTTAACTATATTTACCATATTACTTGATTCACCATCAATTCAATAACATCCCTCACAAAATGTTACTTTTTCAGTTTAAAAAATTTCTAACAAATTTGTACATGAAAAAAATCTTAATTTAAGGTCATAGTATTCATTCACATTAACTGGGATTAGCAGAAATACCATATTGCTCTCTCACCAAAGAAAGAAACAACTTACAGAATCATCTTCCTCATCATCATCGTCATCTGCATGGTGGAAGAAATGTCGGTAACTTCCAGGGTTTATTTCTGTATCTTCAGGCCCAACAAAGAATCTGGGGGCTTCACTCATTTTTACTTCATTTAATATAGATATAACAAAGTATCTATATTAAAACTTCTAAATAAATAGTATCAGAAGAAAGCATTCTCCCTATACTAGCTGACAGAGGTCTGCTGCAGTTTGTTTCTGCTTATACAATCACTTGAAAGTGTGATGACAGTTAGTTGGCAAATATTCCTTTGTTCTCAGATATCATTGCTTCATTGTGGACATCAAAGTTGTTGCTGCTGTTTAAAATACAAAGACAATAGGGCTGTTGTATTCCTAAGTTGATACAGCAATTGTTTTACCTACAATGCAATAAAAAAAATTGAGTGTACTTTAAAAACATTCCTGTCACTTAGATAATTTTAAGTGATGCTTGCATAATCAGCATCCAATAACTGGATGAATACTTTCAAAATGAAAATGTTTTCTTCCATAAGATTAATTAACAGTGTAATCTTCAGTAAAACACAGCACATCAATTTAATAAGGTGATACAAAATAATATAAAACTACACACTAAATTCTTCAAGTGCAAAAATAACAAATTAAGAGAAAATTATTTGAATTATAACAAAATTATATTAAAAGTTACATCCTTTATCACATAGTTCAGAACTATCTGAATGGAATGGAACAGATAAACCTATTTATGTAGGTTTAACAGCTACTAACAATTGAGCACTAATCTGAAGTGACATTAAGTTGATTGTAGAAGTTTAGTTTGAAAACAGGTTTTTAGGGAATATAATATTATAATACATTCTAGTCCATACATAAATCTATTAAAAAAGTGGGGGGAAACAGAGTGAAAATAAGATTTCTAACAGTAGTTCCTAAATTTGCAGAATTTAAACACTCTTTAGCAAATCTAATAATATCTATGGGTCCCCCTCACCCCAAAAATGCTCATGAACACTAAACTCTGCAAGCAATTTTATGTTCTTTAATGACAAACTCTTCCATATAATCAGGCACCCATGAAATCAGATCAGTTAAAGAACTATCATGTAATAGTGCTATGATTGAAAAGCATTCTTTACCAAAGTCATTTACATGCACTTGGACTCTGGTAATATTAAAATTAATTATCTACCAAGAGCAAATTATATATCACATCCTTCAATTGCTTACTGATATTAAAAGACCTTACTTGATGAAATAACTTTTAAAAGAGTTTAATAATATACTAGATAGAATTGCAACACACAATTCTAAAAGTCATATTCCTTTGCCCTTTCTTGTGTGCTTTTAAAGTTGATGCAGTGCTTTAAGAGGCTAACACTGAAGGTTAAAGGTAACTTCCATAAAATTTAGAGAATAGGTTGCAAAACTCCTCTTTGAATCAGTTACAGTTGGAAAAAAAAAAAGAGGTTATATTACTGAAGGTCTAATTCCAGTTTCAGTTTAACTGATGGCTCCTTATAAATATTAAACCAGTTTAATCAGTCAGCATTGATTTATTTATCTTTAAATTGAACAATGTTATGAAACACAAAACAGTTTGTGACTAAAAAATTGGAAGAAATAATTTACTTTATTAAAAAATGCTTTTTTTTCCCAGTTACTTGGGAGGCTGAGACAGGAAGATGGCAAGTTTGAGGCCAATTTGGACAACATAGCCACAGTTGTCTCAAACTAAAATAACTTGGGGATGTATCTCAGTGGTAGAGCATCCCTGGAATTTACTCTCCAGTATCACCAAAAGAAAAAAAAAAAAAGCTTTTTTGTTTCTATTCTTTCTTCACTGTTTAACATTAAAAAATGTTTGCTGATAAAGAAAAAATGGTTTCCAATTGCTATAACACTTGATGGCAGTAGGTAAGTTAATCTCAGCTCTGTTTTGTATCAAATGGTAAATATCCTTAGGTTTCTTCTTACTTGTTTTTTACTCTTTCTATTTAAACACAGCGCAAATATCCCAAATATTTCAGCAGCGGAAAGGGCATGATTTTGGAGTCAGATATACCTATTTCAGTCTGTCACTACATAACTACTAGAAACTTATGCTAGTTTCTCTGAGCTTTCGTTTCTTCATCTATAAAAAAGGGAGTATACTAATAGCCTATAACTCCGTAAAAGCTAAACACGGTAGTAAAAGTGCTTGACACATATCAAACACTCATTAAACCATAGTTTCTATAAGCACTTCTATAAACAAAGTTCCCAACTAATATAACATGGAAATCTAAAATAATATCACTCATTATTTGTTGAAATACATTTATTTAATCAATAAATAATATTCACATATTATAAAAGACACACTATTAGATACTGGCAATTGTACTTCTTCTACTTTAGGTATTCTAATAAACGTGATAAAACTTGTTTTAGAGGTTGAGATAAAAATTAAGTTTTAAAAATTATGTAGTTTTAGAGTATCATTTTGAAATATCTGAAACACATAAAACTGAATTTTTAAAATAAAAATCAGTTAATTACCCCATAACCTAGTGGCAGGACTAATAGTTGCAGTTCTTGGTTGTAGAACTGAATTGAATTTCCTACTAACTAGTCTTTTTGATATATATTTTCCCACATTTTTGTGATGCTTAATACCACTCACATATACATACGTCATATATATATATATATATATATATATATATATATATATATATATATACACACACACACACACACATATATATACACACACACACACATATGTATATGTGGAAAATCAACTTTTTCTTGATGGGTAGCAACTGTGTATTCCATAGATATTTTTCCAAAACAATATGAATTAATGATTGAGCTGTCCCCTTTTTTGAAGTACACTGATACATGTCTCTCATTTGATTATAAATTTAGATCTGAAAACATGTCTGATTCATTTATTTGGAGTAAGGCAATAGTTAAATCCACAAATAAATATGTTAGAAGACCTCTCTATAAGATAACAGTTAAGCATGAATTTAAATATATATGGGAAATCTGCCACAAAGAGTTAGAGCATTTTAGGTAAGAAACATAAAAAATTAAAAATTCTAAAACAGGAATAGAACATGAATATACAACAGGCAAACAAAGGAAGAATGGCTAAAAAAAGACATCAGAGAAGTAGCTAAGATGTATACAAATGACTTAAAAACAAATTTTATTGGATTACATTTAAGACAATTGGGAAGCAGAAATAAATTCAAGTTAAACAGTTTTTTGGTTGTTGTTTTTTAATGATTTTGTTTAAAAGGCAGGTAGACTGATTTGGGCTTCAGAAAAACATATGGTTAAAGAAAGTTGTTTTTTTCCCCCTCCGTTACTCCATTTCAATATATGAGAGATAGTTACAAATATTATTAAAGGACTAAACAAGTTAATGGTAAGTGGACAAATTCAGGAGCCCAAATACCTGGGTTTTGATATTGAATCCAATAACTGTATGAACTTGAACAGTGTTTCAGGGACCTAATTTCCTCATCTGTAAATTATATCTATCTTGTGGCTTGTTAGAAGGATTAAATATAATACATTAAAAATGCTTGTATCCCTGAATAGGAAAAGAAGAACTCAAACTATCACTATTTGCTGATGACATGATTCTATATTTAGAGAATACAAAAAATTCCACCAGAAAACTTAATAAATTAATTCAGCAAAATACCAGGATATAAAATCAATACCCATAAATCAAATTCATTTCTATACATCAGTGATGAATCCTCTGAAAGAAAATTAGGAAAACTGCCCCATTCACTATAGCCTCAAAAAAAAAAAAATAATAATTGGGAATCAATCTAACAAAAGAGATGAAAGACCTCTAAAATGAAAACTACAGTACACTAAACAAAGAAATTGAAGAAGACCTTAGAAGATGGAAAGATCACCCATGTTTTCCAAAAGGCAGAAGTAACACTGTCAAAATGCCATACTACCAAAAGTTCTATTTTAATGCGATTGCAATTAAAATCCCAATGACAAGGCTGGGATTGTGGCTCAGTGGTAGAATGCTCGCCTAGCACATGTGAGGTACTGGGTTTGATCCTCAGCACCACACAAAAATAAATAAATTAAATAAAGGTATTGTATCCATGTATAACTAAATACATATATATATATGTATGTATATATATATAACTAATATATATATATATATATATATATATATAAAATCCCAATGGCATTCCTCTTAAAAATAGAAAAAGCAGTAATGAAATTCATGGAAAAATAAGAGCCCCAGAATAGCCAAAGCAATCCTTAGCAAAAAAGAGTGAAATAGGATGCATCACAATACCAGACCTTAAACTATACTACACTATACTACAGAACTATAGTAACAAAAACAGCATGGTATTAGCACCAAAATAGACGTGTAGTCCAACAGTACAGAATAGAAGACACAGAGACAAACCCACATAAATACAGTTATCTCATATTAGACAAAGGTGCCAAAAACATACATTGGAGAAAAGAGAGCTTCTTCCACAAATGGTGCTGGGAAAACTGGAGATCCACATGCAGCAAAATGAAATTAAATCCCTATCTCTTACCATGCATAAAATTCAACTCAAAGTGGATCAAGGATCTAGGAATCAGACCAGAGACCCTGCGCCTATAATAGAAGAAAAAGCAGGCCCAAATCTTCATCATGTTGGCTTAGGACCTGACTTCTTCAACAGGACTCCTAAAGCACAAGAAATAAAATCAAGAATCAATAAATGGGATGGATTCAAATTAAAAAGCTTCTCCTCAGCAAAGGAAACAAAAAGTAACGTGAAGAGAGAGCCTACAGAATGGGAGAAAATCTTTACCACACGTGTATCAGATGAAGCACTAACCTCCAAGATTAGTGCTATATGAATTTATTATCCAATAAATAAATGGGCTAAGGAATTGAACACACACTTCACAGAAGATATAAAATCGATCAACAAATATATGAAAAATTGTACAACATCTCTAGCAATTAGAGAAATGCAAATCAAAACTACTCCAAGATTTCCTCTTACTCCAGCCAGAATGGCAATAAGTGTTGGCTAGGATGTGGGGGAAAAGTTATACATTACTGGTGGGACTGCAAATTGGTGCAATCAATCTGGAAAGCGATATGGAGATTCCTCAGAAAACCTGGTAGGGAACCACTATTTGATCTAACTATCCCACTCCTCGGTCTATACCCAAAGGATTTAAAATAAGCACACTACAGTGACACAGCCACATCAATGTTTATAGCAGCTCAACTCACAATAGCTAAACTGCGAAACCAACCTAGATGCCCTTCAGTAGATGAATGGAAAGAAATTGTGGTATATACACAATGGAATATTACTTAGCCTCGAAGAAGAATGAAATTATGGCATTTGCATGTAAATGGATGGAGTTGAAGAATATCATGCTTACTGAAGTAAGCCAATCCCCCAAAACCAAAGGCCGAATGTTCTCCCTGATAAATGGATGCTGATCTGTAATGGGAAGGGGGCATGGGAAGAATGGAGGAACTCTGGATTGGGTAGAGGAGAGGTAGAAGCGGGGAGGGGCTATAAGGGTGCAAAGAATGGTGGAACGAGACGGTAATTATTTCCCTATGTACAAGTATGACTGAATGAATGGTGTGACTCTGCATTGTATACAACCAGAGAAATTAAAAGTTGTGCTCCATTTGTGTACAATCAGTAGAAATGCATTCTGTTGTCATGTATAACTAATTGGAACAAACAAAAAAAATGCTTGTATTCCAATTTCACGGTCATACTCCATACCAATTAAATCAGAATGTTCGAGAGTAGGGTTGAGATATTTTTAAGGTTCCCAGGTAATTCTAATGAACAGACAAGGTTTAGAACTCATATAGTAACCCCCACCCCCCCTCAAAAGAATAAGAGGATGGAAGAATGGAAGCATATAGTAAGCAAAATATATCCATTCAGTGTTGTTTTTTAAAAAATATTTTTTAGTTGTTGATGGACCTTTAGTTTTTATTTATTTCTACGTGGTGCTGAGAATCGAACCCAGTGCCTCACACATGCTAGGCAAGTGCCCTTCCACTGAGCTACAACCCCACCCCCTCACTGTTGTTTTGACAGTATGCTAATAGTATAGGGAATCTGATTATATTCTATAATAGAAAGGAGATAAAAGTGATGACGCACAATCTTTGCCTCCTGGTGCTTGGTACATCTCAAGTACTCAATAAATATTCTGCCACAAAACTTTCCTCAATAACTTTCAAAACTTCTTCCCTCCATCACTTATTGTGACCTTTGGTCACCTACATCCTTATCATTATTTAACAGTTTGGGTTATGTATCTCTCTCCAAAATAAAAACCTAAAAGGAATGAACACTTAATAAACATTGTTATCTGATAAGTAACTAGTTAATGCAGAGCTTCCTAACATGCTGCCTCACCATAAATGAGCTATATGTATGTTACGAAATTGTCTCAGCCATCAAGACAGCTATACCCCCTGGCCAGTTGCCTCCAGTAGCATTCTTTTCAGTTTCCCAAAATACAGGACATATACAATAATTTTCTATGTCTGCCTTAATGTGAAAAAAGTTGAGAAGCACTTAGTTAATACTGTGGGATAGGGATATTTTCCTCATCTTAAAAATGCTTGTACATCTATGTATGTTCATTATTTCATTATAAATGAATACTTGAGACTCAAAAGTTCAAGTACCGAGAACTTGATGAAATCATATTCAATCATCACATAGGTCAATAAGAGTGGCAAAATGCCAGATATAAGTTAAAAGTAAAAAATCAACAATCCATAGTTTTTCTTACATTACTGAAATACTTAATAAATTTTTGGAAAACTAAAAATATAGAATAAACCTTTTTTTCCCCCTCTTACTCACGTGGCATACATATGGTACAAAATGAAATAAAATGAGCCCTGTAGGAGATCTAGGATATTCTAAATGGTTTATTTCACTTAAACTCTGATAATTGAACCAAATGCATTATATATATAACATTTTCAACATTATTCAGCAATTTAAGCCACAACCCTAGCCCCATAATCAATAATTCTTAACTAGAGAATCTATATTTTAATAAATGGATGAACAGTTAGATTTGGGTAACTCTCTAAATCTATGCAAAAGACAAGCATTACTTAACCCTGATTTCTAAATTTGAAATGAGCACCATTCTGTCAATAAGTTTCCACACTCAAAGCAGTAGTTCTCCAACTTCAGCATACGTCAGAATCACCTAGAGGGGTTGTTAAAAGTACTAAACTAAAATGTTTGCGGGGTGAGGGCCAATATTTTGAGTTTTTAAAAAGTTCCAAGCTGATGCTGATGCTGTTTGACTAAGAATCACACTTTGAGAACAATTACTATATTCTTTGACAAAACTGGGTTTGAACGCTTTTTCTGAAATTTGCTCAGCTGTGTCCGTAAAAGTTATTGAACCTGTCTAACTATAATCTGTAAAATAGGATTATAAATCTCATGTATTTTTTTGAAGACTAAATGACAATAACAATGACAGTGCTTCAAAAACCAGTTTATGTTAAGCACGTAATAACTGTTAGCTGTTTCTATATTCTGTTAACTGTGATAAATAAGACAAGATTTTTGACCGTATTCTAACTATCAAAGAACAAAAACAACTCAATTTAGAGTCTAACTACTTACCTTCCATCCAAGGAAGCCACAGAAACTTCTCTTTGTCAATGCTGCTGCTGGAAACCTCTCTACATCTTTTCCAGCATTACCTCACTACTTGAGACTATCATAAACACTACTGCCCAGGATAAAGAGTCTTCTCTTTCATAGCTTTATTGGTCCTGGCCAGAGCTACTAGTCCTCAAAAAAATACCTTGTTTAAATCTCATGAGTCCTACATAGTATTCAGAGGCCCCTTGGCTGAATACAAAACTCTGTCCAAGTTTTCATTGTAGCCCTTTCCATAAATTCCCTCAAGGCCCAGTTTTAATACTGTATCTCTGCTCCCCAAATCAGAGAAAATGAGAACTCCAGTTATTGCTGCTCAACCTGAACACAGATACATAACCAGTTTACCTCATATCCCCAAAGCATTTCCCAATGGAATCACTCTTATAAATGGTGACTAAATTCTAAGGCATTAATAGTAAACTACATAAGAGGGTATTAAATAGGCTTCTTCAGGATGGCAAAGGCAAACTAGTAACATTTCTAAGATTATTTATTTTTAAAAGTCCAAGTTTCATACAACCTTCACATTGATTTTTTTTTTTTTCCTTCTTCAAATGTTCATATAATACCCTTCTGCTGAACCTGCATTTCCTTCTCCCTGGAAATCACTCCTCCCCTGTAGGAATAGGAAGTCTTATTCTTCCTTAAATAAATGACTGGAAGGCTTCAATAAATGCTCTCCTAACAACTATCATGCCTCTGGGAGGCCCTAACTACACAACAAAACCCTCTGCCATCCAATATGCTCCACAATATTTCAGATCTATTTTTACAACTGTTGGGGCTTGTTTCCCTCCCAAATTTATTACGAAAAATTTCAAATATTCAGAAACATTGAGAGAACAGTTCACTAAACAACCATATGCCCACCATTAAACTCAACAATGGTCAACTTTTTTTTATATTTACTTTTTATTTATGTAACCACATACATAGGCATATATTTACTGCACCATTTGAAAGTAAGCTGTAGGCATCAACATACATGACCTCTAAATACAGTGGCATTCATCTCCAAAAAAATAATTGCATCTTTCTACTTAAACACAATACCATTTCCATCTAAGAATATTATTAAATTGTTCTACAACATTGTCTATAAGTAGTTGCCTGGTAGCTTTTGAGAAACAAGGATCTCAACTATATATTTTCAGTTCTTAACTTAGTGTACAGCACTTATTTGGGTGATTAATAAATATTCTAGGATTGGGGATGTTGCTCAGTGGTAGAGTGATTCTAGCATGCAGAAGACCCTGGGTTCAATTCCCAGCACAAAAAAATTCTATCAATTGTTCATTTTAATATACCCTCATAACTACTCTATATGTCATATGAGTTTAAAACTTAAATAGAAAGCTTTGATTTTACTCCTATAAGCTTCCTGCACATCAATCAGTCACTAGTTTTAAATAAGCCTGTGCTGCAGTAAGTATTTGGGATTTTGAACTAGTTAATTCTGCATCACAATACTGATGCTCCACAAAGATATAGATCATGTCTGTCACTTGTCAGACACAAGTAGAAACACACACAAATATTTTAAATGAATGAATACTTTTAGCCACTGAAATTGTTGATGAAAAAAAATTGGAATTGTGTAAGAATAATGGTAGGACAGTAGAATGCAGATTTTGGAACCTGAGAGATTTAGTTTCTAATAGAGATTCAAATGTTTACTTGCTGCAAAAGTTTACTGGGGAGAGTGTTACTTGACCTCTGAAAGCCTCAATTTCTACCTTTATAAAATAGGGGTAAATTTTGAGGAGTGACTGTGTAAAGCACTTGTCACAATGCTCATTAATGGAAGCTACTTTCACTATTTTATCCATCTGAAACTACATATTTCATTGAGGAAACTATAATAGCAAAACAAAATTCTATCCTAGTGTAGGGCTAGGATGCTAGTTGCTAAAGTCAGCCATGCTTCTTACTTCTACAGCTAAACCTTCCAGCTTGCTAAACGAAGATAACTATTACTTACAGTACTCCAAGATCGTAATTTGCCAGGAAGTTGCCCAGAACCTCGTGAATGAGATCCAAAGGTCACTATCCACAAACCAGGATGTAATAGTCTCCAATCGATTAGTTGCAGCAGTGAACTGCAACCTCCGACCATAACAGAAAACTGCAATAATGCACAAGGCTTTTGTTCTTTTAAAGTGGGCGTGGAGGCGCGACAAGCAAAGGAACAAAGAATAAGGAACGAAAATTATTTAAAATAGCCACTTCTAGGGCTGGGATTGTGGCTCAGTGGTAGAGTACTTGCCTGACAATGTGTAACTGGGTGCGATTCTCAGCACCACATATAAATAAGTGAATAAAATAAAGGTCTATCAACAACTAAAAATAAAAATAAAAAATAAATAGCCACCTCTACCCACAGCGGTCCTCAAATTCGAAGGTGCTAAACTTTGGTGGAACTAGTGGCAGTTAGGGGAAGCTCCGCAGTTCCCTAACTTAGCTGCCATTTGTGGAGTTTCAAAACCAAGAAACGAAAAAGGAAAGCAATGGAGGAGGAGGAGAAGGAGGCGGAGGAAGGGACAACGAGACGCAAGGGATCCTGAGGGCTGTACTGTCACTCTGAACCCGCGAAGCCGTTCAACCAACACATGCCCTTTCAAGGAGCCGCCTGTTTAGGGTCCTCAAAGCAAAGGAGACAAAGCAAATGCCTACCAGCGGCAGCAACCATCTGGAGATCAGTTTCTGTATCTCCTGTCCTCCATTGATCTTGGGGCCCTCACCTGACTCGGACGCGGTTGTCACGCGAGCTGCTGGAAATAGCCCGATACACATAGGTTTCCCCTTTTTATTCTGGGGATAAGGGTGGGTGAGGTTTTGGTCCTGAGACTTCAGCTGTACGCGGGGACAGGGGTCTTCTTCGTTCAGCAGCAGCTAAAGAGCCACATAGAGGTAGCTGAGGCACTACTACACCTCTTGAATCCCGGGCACGCCTCTTCTTCACCCGCCTAGGGTCTCACACACAAATTTGACCGGGCGGAACAATTTCCGGCAAGAGCCCAACGATCCGCCCTAATCTTTCCGGACCGAGGTTCCAAAGGCCCAGGAAGGACCGACTGGGATACTTCCGCTTCCTGTAGCACCAGATAAGTCGCGAGAGGAAGCTTAAATACAGTCGTTTGCATTTAGGACCACTTCGGTGAGTGGTCATTCTGATGTGCTTTATCATATGTACTGGTTTATTTTATTTTATCTTATTTTAAAGTGAAGTGTAATCTGACAGTAATTTCAAAACCATTCTCTTCGACTGAAGGCTGAAGATTTTGCGCAGGCGCCGTTGGGGCGGGAGGACCTTGAACGTTGCGAAGTCCCACCCAGCAGGCTAGAAAGGGAAGAATATTGTTGTCGGGCCCTGGGAGGTGACAACTAGGTGGGATTGAGTTTTAGTCAAAGTCGTTTTCCTGCTTGTGCATAGTTTATCTGGACCTTATCCTTAAAAGTCAGTTAACAAGCCATCAAAATGCTTGGGAAATACTTCTGCATAGTTATAGTATTTGAGACTCCAAGGTTATGAGTGAATTCAAAGGTCGGGTGCGGCTCTTGACTGACGTTAGAGCTTTCTGATCCATACTTTATCATAGTTGTGATTTAATCTGAAATATTGCCCCAAATTAAAGACTTCTGTGATGGGGAGAAACGTGAACTTAAGACAGAATCTTGTCACGTGGTTTTCAGGAAAAGAGGACATATTATTTTATTATTTCCCCTACGTGTGCATGTCAAAACCAGAATGGAAAAATAATTTTCAAAATGGAAATGAATATCTTATGTGGCTTCATGTGTGTGCCTAAGGAGTTAAAGGCTTTTGTTGTTTTTGTAAGCTGAAATGAAGCAGAGAAGTATCTGGTGTATTCATTTTCCAGTCTCTCACATTGCATAAAATTGTACTGGCCCATTTTTTTTCAACAATTAAAATAGAATACTTAAAAAAATCAGAATATAAATTCCAAGTTTTTGTATTATTGAAACCAAGATTTTACTTTAAGTTGTAATACATGCATATTATTACCTTTCAGAGGCATAGGTTACCAGCTTGATGGTTTTTACTCTTCTTGAAACACAAAACCTTATTGTATTTGAAGTAACACAGATAACTGTCTTACTTCATTGGACATACAAGATAAAATTATCAAAGGAATTAAGCAATAAATATTCACAAAGATATTTGTTCATTTTAACCAAATATGATCCTAACATTCCTTTTGCAAAAACAGAAGTTGTGATCACACTCAACTACCTTTTCTGATTCCTAAATTCTTAAAAATATAAGCAAATCCAAAAATGGGCTAAAATACTCTTTATTTATGTAATTCAGACAGATCTCTTAATTCTTTGTGAATGATACCTTTGCTTAATAATCTGTGCATAGAAGATATTTTATTATGTTTGCCCTGAATGTTGCAGCTTAAAACCATTCTTCTCATATTAACTACCTCTCAAATGGTTGGTTTCTCGCGACCAGGTGATGAATAGGAAAAATTTCTGTTTTTTAAATTATTTTACATAAATACCAAACATGAATAACAACTCTTAACCATCTATTTAAAAGGCAATGCTTTTATAAACTCATCTGTCTTAGGCATTTTCTATTTCTCATCTGTCTCTTAAATTCAGAGCCAGCATTAAACCATAAGGTCATTATAGCTGAGTGCAGTGGAACACACCTAAATCCCACTACTCAGGAGGTTGTGGCAGCAGGATCACAAGATAGAAGTCAGCCTGTGCAATTTAGCAAGACGTTCTCCTAAAAAATAAAAGACTGGAGATGTGACTTAGTGGTAGAGTGTCCCTGGGTTTAATCCCTATTACTGCAAAAGTATGTAAATAAATAAATAGTCATTATAAATTATATGCCTCCTGAGTCTTCTGGGTTTTGCTATTAGCAGTATAAATTTATAAATAAACATAGCTCTAAAACATTAATCACTATTAATGTAAGGACAGAGATTTTAAAATCTTTTTTCCTTATAAAAATTTTGAGAAAAGAAAGTGTTCTCTTAAAACAGCCTGATGTGAATGATAATATTTGAATATAACAATAAATACATATTGCTTTACTATTTACAAAGGACTTATCAAATCCATTATATCATTAATCCTCATTATTGTAAAAAAAAAAAAAAAAAAAAAAGGACAGTTGTTATGTCTTTTTTTTCCCCCAAACATTGGTACTGAGTCGTAGGTAAGTATCAAACACCTGTAATTCTTACTCCATCCTTCTTAGACAACACCCTTCTTGAAATTCCATGTATGTATTCTCACCAACAGTACTCTGCAACTTTGATAGTACTTGTTTTTTGTTTTCCTGTTGTTTATATAATAGTATTGTATTGTGGTTTTAATTAACGTTTTTTTTGTTGTCTCAAGTGATGTAGAGTACTTTTCATTTGTTTATTTAACCATATATCTATACAGCTCTTTTGCTCATTTTAAAAATTGGATTGTTTTCTTATAAATTTTGAAAGTTCTTTATAAATTTCAGATAGAAGTTCTTTATTGGAAATGTGTTTTGCAAATATTTTCTCCCAGATGTGATTTCTTTTATTTTCTTAACAATATATTTAAAAGAACAAAAGTTATAATTTTTATTTCATAAATGATGTTTTTTATTTGTTATTTTGGAAGTATTGCCAGACCAAAGTTCGTCTCTTCTAGAATTGGACTTCTGTAATTATAGGTTTTATATTTGGACCTATGACCCATTTTAAGTTAATTTTTACATATAGTGCAAGGTATAAGTTGAAGTTCATGGTTTTTTTTTTTTTAATACAGTTGTTTATTTGTTCCAGTATTTATTGAAAACAGACTTTCTTCATTAAAATTACTTTGGAACTTCTGCTGAAAATCTGTTTACCATATCTGAGTGGATTTTTATTGGAGACTCTTATTTTTTTCCATGGATCTACTGCTCTCATTTTGCTAGTACCATAGTCTTGATTGCCACACCATCACTTGGTCCCAAGAAACTGAGTCTTGTAATAATGAAGTTCTTTAACTATTTTTACTTTACAAAGTTGTTTTAACTTTTCTAAGTCCCATGTCAATTTGAGAACTGGCTTATCTGTTTCTACAAAAGAGTTTCTGGGTTTCTGATTTGGATTGCATTGAATCTTTAATCATTTTGGGGGAAATTGGCATCTTTGTAAAGTTGTCCAGCTTTTTCTCCTTGTTAGGGTGGGAGTAACTTTACAACCTTCTACATTTTAGAAACTCTGTGGGAATTTTTAAATGATATTTCAGATGGAAACAATTTACTTTCATTGTGTTATTCACTGTAATATCCTTATGGGAAGAGATAATAAGATTAATTCCTTTATTTGTAAAATGGATGTCATCCCTTACTGCTTTCTCAGGAACATAATACTGTCACTTATTATTTTTTCCTCTCCTCCATTTCTAATAGTCTTTCTCTAGAAGCCCTTCCTCTTAAAACTTTTTGGGTTATTCCCTTCTTGCAACCAAAACAATTTTTCTTTAATTTTTAAAAATTGTAGTAATTTGAAATTTACCATTTTAACCTTTTTAAGTGTGCCATTAACTAACTAGCATTCAGTCCATTAATATTGTATAACAATCACCACCGTCCATCTCCAGAACTCTTTTCACCTTGTATAAATGAAGCTATACCCATTAGACAATAATTTACCTCTTTCCTGCTCCCTATTTAGACCAATGACTGAACCTTGTGTCTATCTCTTTTGTTTGTTTATTTGTTTGTTTTTAAATACCTTTATTTTATTTATTTATTTTTATGTGGTGCTGAGGATTGAATCCAGGGCCTTGCACATGCTAGGCTAGCACTCTACCGCTGAGCCATAACCCCAGCCCCTCCCCCCATCTATCTCTTTTTTCTTCTTTTTTTAATTTGTTTTAATTAGTTACACATGACAGTACAATGACCTTGAAATATCATACATTTGAATCAGATGGGATATAATATCTCATTTTTCTGAGTATGCAGGTTGCATAATCACATTAGTCATGCATTTACATATATACACACAGTAATAATAATGTCTGTTTCATTCTACTATCCTTCCTATCTCCCCACCCCCTACCCTCCCCTTCCATCACTTCTCTCTACCTAATCTAGGGTAACGCTATTCTTTTTTTTTTCTCATATCTTCATTCATGTATTTTGTATAACAATGAGGGTCTCCTTCTACCATCCATGCACACGCGCACGAGCACACACACACACACACACACACACACTGGGTACAAGTCCTTTGTTTTATATATATATATATATATATATATATATATATATATATATAAAGACATCTTTTCCCAGTTTCTGACTTGCCTTTTCACTTTCTTAATAGTATCTTTTGATGAACAGACATGTTGACTTTTATGAAATCCTAGTATTTTTTTTGTATATGTCCTGTTTAAGAAATCTTTGCTTATTCTAAGGATTTCAAGATCTTTTCCTTTGTTTTCTCCCAGAAGCTTTGTTGTTTACCTTTCACATTTAGGATTATGATCTATGTGGAATTAGTGTTTAAGAAAAATGTGAGGCAGCTGCTTAATGGCTTTATTTTCCTATAAAGATATCCAGGTATTCCAATATCACTAAAAGACCATATCTTCCCCCATTATATTGAATGTTTTATTGTAAACTAATTGACTTTATATGTATGGATCTAATGCTGCATTCCCTATTCTGTTCCAGTGGCCTATTTGTCTATTTTTATGCCAGTTCTACAGTGTCTTTTTTACTTATTTTTATACAAAATCTTAAAATCTAATCCATTAATTTTCAAGGGTTTTTCAGAAACTGCAATATACTACTTTGTTCAATTTGTGGGTACAGCCATCTTTTATAAAATGAAAAAGTTATATATTTAAATGAAAGTGGATTAAACTTAGAACATATTGATTGATAATACTTTGTAGAGAACCGACCTGTTTTTTAGATTATAACGGGACTATGTCAGCATTACAGAAGTTTTACT